AAGCAGAACCAGCATAGTTTCTGGAAGTGTAAGTCTTGAATCACTAACCTTTCAGAGTTCTTTAAATGTGTCAGCAAGCACACAGATAGAGGTGATGTAGGTCACATTGAATATTTAGAGTTTCAAAAACCTTGTTATAATAGCACTTTCCTATCACAAAAATATTCCTTTTTGGCCATGACCTTTTGATATGGATCATGCAGTTTTGGATGACACCGTTTTTGTGATACTACTAAGCCATGGTTTATATATCATGGTTCAATTAACCATATTTAAAGCTGATAGTCTAAACCCAGCCCTGAGGGTTAACTATGGCTTTAGGCAGTGGCGAGGGGGAAAGTTCCCCCCCAAACAAGGAGCTCACCCCTTTCCTCCCTGAACTCTTTCTTGCCCCCTTCCTCTGATTTCCCCCCCTGGTGCTATAACTGACTATTGCAATTAACTATTGCCATGGTTAAAACTTCCTTGTTCATTAAGGGTTGTTGTTGGTTTATAAACTTGAGTTAACATTAACCATACCCTAGTATGGAGCCCAAACTGGCTCCTCCTTAACTATGATTAAGAAGTTGTCACCACCCAAAGGCTCCAAAGCCATGAGTGAAGAGCTGCAGAAATTCAGACCATTCTCAAGGTTCAGTTGCTCTCACTCATGCGTTTAACTGTGCTTGTCAACAACTGCTTGTCCCACTCCCCACGTCATGTTCTGAAAGCACTTTCTAGCTTTCACTGCTGCTGCGCTGTGAGGCGAGAAAAAATTAAAGGCACCACAAGGATGCATTGGTATGCGTGGGAAAGGGTGTGCATTCAAATGAGCAACTTTAGAGTCATTGCCACCTTTTCTTCAAGCACATTTTTTTGGAGTGGGGTGGGGGACAGGACATGATTGCAGGTTCCCAGGCCACCAAGACTCCCTTTCGTCCATTTAAAAGGATCTTGAGCAGTTTTGTAGGAAATGCAGACTTGAACCCTGTAAGGAATAGAAGGATCACGGCTTGAGAAAAGTGGGTAAGACTGAAAAGTAGAGGGAGGGAAGGGGGCAAATGCCTCTCTTCACAGCATCTGCTGTTAAACTTCCAACCTAGCATGGAGCATGGAAAGGGTGAATGCTCTTCATTAATTATGTCTCCTTTTTTTTGTAGAGGGTGAGGATCAGAACTGGTGTGGCAGTTGCCAGCAGTAGCTGTAAGGTTTCCCATGCCCCATCCATCCATCCATCCTGTTGCCTAATAACAAGCAGGCTGGTGACACTAATGACAAAGCGAGGTATTTCCAGTCTAAGGGCAGCATAAAGGCATTTGGATAGCAGTCTGAAGCTGTGGGGAGGGCAGCAGGGAGAGGAGAGAAACTATGCTGCGGTATAAAAAGCCAAGGTACAAGTGATCGACTGGAAGATGCCTAGATTTTAACTGTGCTTTATCAACTCTGATTAATGTTAACCACGGCTTAGCATTATGCATGGATGAGGCCTTTGGCTAAAGTGTTCCCAAATATTCTCCCAAATAAATTTCATTTCTGCCTGAGTTTTTGGCAATTAGTAGAATTGTCAAAAGCACATGTTACAAAATGGTGACAGAATTTGCTTTCCCCCCTTCCTTTCTACTTTGCCCATAGTAGTGCAAGCATGTTAATGGTTACATCAAGTAGTCTCTCTCTCTCTCTCTTTTTTTTTTTAAAAGTAATTATTCCTAAATGAGTGCTGCTTGGAGAGGATTTAACAGATTCCCTGGAGCATTGTATAGTTAGTTGTGTACAAGAAATTTTATTCTTAATTAAAAAATGTCTTCTTCCCTTTGCTGTCTGCTTTCTACGATCTTTTCCCCTTGAGTAGTCATTCTGTCTTATATTGTCCTCCCAATATTTTAAAATGCTTCAAGGCTTCCCAAGTGTTGTTGCTATGTTTACTGTTGCTAAGGCCTTTTTGTACATTACTTTTATAGGAGATGATTACTTTATAACAGATTTATGATTCACCATGTTGGCTTAAAAAGGTAAATGTATTTATTACTTGCTAACAAGCTGTGTATGCTGACTTCTTCGCCTCCATAAGAGAGATGTGCAAAATGGCCCTTAGAAATTACTTTGTCATATAACTTATTTCATAGTTAGAATTTGCAAGACTTGTTAATTAGATTTGTATCTCACAATTTGGTTCAAAGCAGCTTGTAGAGGTAAAATCATTAACAATAGTACCATAAAACAACCTAGGCTTAGATGAGATTTTGAAAGGGAAGTCAAGAAGTGATTGCATTTCTGTTGTTGACATACAAAAGGCAGAGTGGGACTGAGGAGGTTCTTAATAAAGATGGCGAGTCTAGCCATATCCTGGATGGCTAAGGTCATTGCGGAACTATGCTTGGGGAGAAATATTGTTGATGATACCAGTCTCCAGCAGAACCAGCCCTACCATAAAGCAGAATAATGCAGCAGATGACAGTGGGGAGGAGGCAGGGGGTTGGCGGATGCAATTATACATGGCATGTAGGCAGCACAGAGCCCCCTAAGCTAGCCTGGTCCAGTAGAGGCTGCTCTCCTATTGCCAGGGTTGAACTAAGGTTCCATTTTCAATCCAATTGGCTTCTCTACAAGGAATGGAGGGGGTGCCATATCATTGTTCACCACAGACGTATTATCTTGGGCTGTCTCTGATTCCGTGACGTATGCATATTTACTTAATTGAATCAATACCTTAATGCTACCAACCTGCTTGTCTTGTATTTGGAATTTTAAATGTGTTGGAGGAGGCTGGTGGGAAGGATGCATGTGTATTGAGAAAATATTACATCAAGTGAAGATGATGAAAGGGGGGGGGACAATGGGTTGATGAGGTAGGATAGAAATGATTCACAAGCTGCTGTTTCTGTTCCTAGGCAGCATTCAGGCACAGATGATGCAACTGAAAAGCCCTATTATACCAAACATTTGGATTTGAGGCAATTTAATCTTGTCCTTTTCTTTCAGAGCAGTACATCTCTCTAATCAAATCTATGAGGAGAACAAAAAAGGTGACTGGGAAGTTAGCAGCAGCTGCTTACAACTTCACATGTTGCTGCATGGAGAAGTGATTACCTGTAGCCTCTGGGCATCCGACAATGCTATATTTCCCATAATTTCATAATTATTCAGAAAGCTGGAGAAAAGCTAAAGGACAAAGTGACGTCTGCCTTTATTGCATGGCCAGAGGCCACAGATGACTGAATCTCCTTAGAGATCCACCGCATAATATGTATTTCTTATTTAGCCCTGGCAACTTTCCAAATGGTACCCATTCCTTCTCTTTTGCATCATATCAAACATAATTAAATTTTCACATGACTGGAGAATGTGTGTGCTTATGTGTTTTAGTGGATGCAGTTTGTTGTCTGAGGTTATTCAGAAGCTCTTGTATAATATGATGCGAGACAGGGCCGGCTCACCTATGAGGCAAAGTGAGGCAATTGCTTCAGGCAGCAGGATCCACAGCGGCGGCAGATCTAGCCTCCAAGAAATGCATTGCCTGCTGCTGCTGCCACAGTGGCAGCAACAGAAATGGCACGCTTCTTGGAGGCTGCCTCCCCTTCCCCCATGCCATCTCTACAGTGGCTTCTTGGTGACTAGGAGGCACTGCTGGTCTCCTCCCCTGTTGTTGTTGTTATTCTGCCCTTCTTACTGGGTTGTCCCAGCTACTCTGGATGGTTCCCGACAAAATACTAAAAACACAATAAAACACCAACCATTAAAAACTTCCCTTCAGGTGTCCTCTAAAAGTCATTTAGTTATTTCTTTGTTTGATATATGATGGGAGGACATTCCACAGGACAGGTGCCATTACCAATAAGTCCCTCTGCCTGGTTCCTTGTAACTTCACTTCTCACCATGAGAGAACTGCCAGAAGGCCTTTGGAGCTGGACCTCAGTGTTCGGGCTGAATGATGGGGGTGGAAATGCTTCTTCTGGTATGCAGGGCCGGTCCTGATGCGAGAGATATTGATTAAACCAGGCCAAAAAGAAGAATTTTCTAAGCTAAGCTTTATTTAAGACCAAAGCTTAAATCAAGCACTTGTGAAAATATAAATATAAAAAAATAGGACTCTTAACTATTACATTGCTGTAGCTTGGAGATTAAATGCTAGATGAGAGAACCCTACAATGTTTGTCACATAAAAATTCATTTCTGTATTGCTTCTCAGAGTTGAAGTTTACATGACTGCAGAAAATCAATGATTGCATATTTCACTGTTTTTTCAAATGTTTAACAACCACTACTGGGGTTGGGAATCTGATTAGGATTGTGTGACTGGGGGAGGAAGGATTTACTTTGCCCCCTATACCCTTTTCTTGATGAAAATCCCTCATTGCTATTTGCCCAATGGAGAAAAAGATTTCAGTACCAGTTTAACACTTCTGTGTTTTGCCCTACTGCTTTGGGACCAATTTTCATTGGGAAAACGGTACAGGGAGAAAGGGCTAATGCCCCCTTCTCCAACACTGCAGTCCTAATTAAACCAAGAGGTGTGGGGGAGACTGTTACAGGGTTTTTTAAATAAAAAAGTAAGAAATCTAATCCTGGATCTCACACTGTTGGATTTAATTTGGCTCTTACAGAGGAACATGTGTCAGAAAGCTGGAGGAAATCCAGCTCTCACCAGAAAGCCCTATTACTTTTCTGCAGACTGTATAAACTGTTTCACTTCTTTTTAATTGTATGTTGTTACCTGCTCTGGGATCTTAAGGTGTAGGCTAGATAAGCAATCTTATAAATAAAGAAAATAGTAATACAGATGAGATTATCTGAGGGATATCATAATCCAGTGTCAAACATACCCAATTCCAGACATTTCTTTGACGTTCTTCAATTAATAATTGACTAATTAAAGGAAGCAACACACCACTGAAACCTTCATTTCTTCTCTTAATTCTTTCAGGAACTTCTATTACATCACAATGCTGAGAGACCCTGTGTCACGCTACTTGAGTGAATGGAAACATGTTCAAAGGGGTGCAACATGGAAGACTTCCCTCCACATGTGTGACGGGAGGAGCCCGACCCCAGAGGAACTGCCGATGTGTTACCTAGGGGATGATTGGTCTGGGGTCAGCTTGCAGGAATTCATGAATTGTGGCCATAATTTGGCTAACAGTCGGCAGGTGCGCATGCTGGCAGACCTCAGCCTGGTTGGATGTTACAATTTGACCTTTATGAATGAAAGTGAAAGGAACACGATCCTTCTCCAAAGCGCCAAGAACAACTTGAAAAACATGGCCTTCTTTGGGCTCACAGAATTTCAGAGGAAAACTCAATATCTCTTTGAGAGGACATTTAACCTGGAGTTCATCTCTCCGTTCACTCAGTACAATATCACTCGAGCCTCTAATGTGGATATCAGTGAGTCAGTGCGGAAGCGCATCGAAGAGCTGAACTTCCTGGATATGCAGCTGTATGAATACGCTAAAGACCTATTTCTGCAGCGCTTTCAGTATGCCAAGCAAGAAGAGCATGAACTAAATCGCCAAAAACGACGGGAGGAGCGAAAAATGTTGCGTGAACAGAAGGTCCATGAATGGCAAAAAGAGGAGGAAGCAGAAACACTAGCGGTTACTGAGGATTACAACAGTCAGGTGGAACGGTGGTGAATTTCCCTTGTGTGTGTATACACACACACTCACACTAAGAGACACTGATATTTCATTGAACTTAATTATTCAACTGTGAATAGATATGTGGAACTCCTATTGTTCTGATAAATGAGAAAGAGTCTCTCAGCCATCCTTCCTCATTTTATGTTTTGGCTTTTTAGATTTTGTCATTTAAGAAAAACAGTATGTTGTGCTTTTCAGTCCGCCTTAATCAGTGTTATTTGATTGGCTGTTGAATAGCTTACTATTTATTGTTTATTTATTATATTTACTGTCTATCCTGACTTTCCTGACACATATCTTTCCAAGGAGGCTTACAGTGAACATAAAAATACATTAATAACATCAGAATAAACAATATCAAAAATCTAACAAGTTATCAGGCTCCTTGTCACAGGGTGGTTGGTGGCAGATGGCCCTGTGGAAGGAGAAGAGACACTCCAGCTGGAACGGGAACAGGCTCCCAGTGTTATCTTTACCTAGCTGCCTCCCTCTCCTGGAAGAATCCTTTCCACATAGCAACCAGTGTCTTCCAGTACATTGCCCCTACCTTGATCTTAAGATTTTTTCTTATGACATTATTTACAACGGAAGCTTGGAAGGAGGGTGGAAATGAAAGCTCATGCCGCAGTATCAGTTTCACTTATATGCAATGATTTGCCATGGTTGGTCTTCTAGTCCCTTGTAAATTGTACTGTGTATGTTCGTGGTGACTGTAACAAAGAAAAACCTGCTGCCCTTCAACTATTTACAGGCAATCTTTTATTTCAGGGAAGAAGTCAGATGTCTAATTTCATGATTTGTTCTAAACCTTGGATTGTGTTATCAAAGAAATGACGTTGAGAGGAGCTTGAAGGCAGCCTAAATCCAATTTATGCTTTTTAAGAAGCCAAAGCACACAGGCTGACACAGTAACTAGCATACTTTTAAAGAAGCAGTATTGGCTACTTCAGGATTTTGAGAGCACAAAATTCAGGGCAACAGACTTGGTTGTCTTGATAGTATTTTTCCTGAACAGGGCTGGGGGGGAGGGGTTATAAAGGATCCAGTCAGATTATAATATAGTAAAGTACTAACCTGAATATATTCCTCAGATTTGTGTATTAGGGTTTTTCACAGATATAACTTTATATAGTGTGATCCCTGGCTTCCTCCCATGCCACTTATTGAAAGCATGCAAGTCTCATGTGTGGGAGAATCACAAGAGATTATCATGTTTGTGCACAGATTCATGTGTCCCCAGTATCCCCAATTCTGGAACTTCCATAATCTTTAGGGGTGTCTTTAGCGCACAGAGCAAAATTTGAAACAAAAAACTACACGTCTAAAGATTTTTATTGCATTCTAACAAGACTTTCATATGCTGGGCTGGAATAAGGAATGGTGAGTGGGTTAGGGGGCTGCTCCAGGTGCCGTAATTAAGGGGCCCCAAAATACTTATTTATGTTATAAGTATTATTTTACAAAAATAGCATTTATTTATTTAAATAATGTGAGGTGAAATTATTGGATTTTGCTTTAAAATATGAGACTTTGTTAAATGCTGCAGGAATTTCATCAGAAATCGAAAGCTTGAAGAGCCAGACACTACCAAATCTCCCGGTTCCAGAGTCAGCAAAAAATTTAGACCTGTTGAAATTAATTGTGAATATTCTGTTACAATGTCTTATCCAAAGTTAGGAACATACTTGCTGTTTATCGTTTTATTACAACCATTTGTCGGTTTTTTATGTTATAAAACGTGGTTGGCTTACAGATGCATGTCACGTTGTTTGCCAAAGGAGTCAAGCTATTTAGTTTTGGTTCTACTCATTCATATGGCAAAACTAGAAATATGGGTGATAAAATTCCACAAACATTTATTTCAAATTATTTCACCAAAAGTTCGGTAAAGTTTCTCCAGCTTTAATGCTTAGATATGAGAGGATTTAGAATGTTTCACTTTTGAATCTACTGATTTCAGATATTTGATAAAACCTACCTGCATCACTTTAGTTTAAGATTCCTGCTCATTGCAAAAACTTACAGATTTCAGTGAGTTTACTCTTAAGTATGATAGACAAAGCAATCCACCACTACCCTTATGCCTGGCTGAGGCAACTTGGCTAGGCAGAGTTGTGCCTCTTCCCTGCTTTCCTGGCTTAGCCAGCCTCCTGCCAGCTGCTGCCACCAGATTGATGCCATCAGCATCTCCATCAGTGCTGATCTCCCCCTTCCATCAGTTATATGGGCACACAGGAGGCTTGTAGGTAGTATGGCTGCCAGCAGGGGCCAGCATACTGTTGGCATCCATCTGTCTCGAGAGACAATGGAGTGCACCTCTGCGGGTGAAGTCAAACCATTACATTAGCAGCACTGAAGTGACCTCTCCAGAATGCAAGCCTGGCCAGTGTGTATGGAGATCATGGGTTGCCCAGACAACACCCTCCTCTCAGCTTTGCTGATGTGGTCCAAAGGAAAGCAGAGAAATACGTTTGGCACCAGCTTGGCTGCAGGAGTTGCTGGAAGGAAGTATACAAGGTATATACAAGGCATCATTGTACAACAGAAAGCCCCAGAACAAGGCATTTAAGGGGAAGGAGGCTGAATCCCAGGCCAGCCTTGCTGCCATCATATGACAGCACTGGGCATGATCCAGGCCCAATTGTGCTTCCCCACTTTTCTGCTGCAGCCACCATGAAAATCAGGTCTGCAGATACGATTATTCTGCTGCTCCCCAAAGCCATACCAAAGTGATGAGTAATTTAGATTGTGCCCTTGGATATCACACCCTTGTTTTCCTTTACTTTAAGAATGTCTTCTGGCTTAATACTACAGTTCTTAAAGCTATCTTCTTTTCAAGGCATTTAAAAAATGCTCCATGCATTGTATTTCAGGATTCAAGCTGCCGTGTCTGAGTGGTTTTCCATATGTCTGAAATTCAGATGGAAAACACAACAACCAGGATAAGCAGATCCTCTTTATGGCACAAAGAAATTGGTTTTGAGATGAACTTTTTTTTAAGTGTTGGCGCACTTTCAAGCTAATATTAGAGACCTTTGCATGACAGCCTACCTACTCTTTGCTAGTTGTATGTAGAGCATGCTTCTTTCCCAGCTAACAGTGTTATTGCTGTTTATCTGACATTTGGGAAACCAGATCCCACTCTGCTCCTGTTCGCCTCATTGGGGCTTGGTGCCATTTAGAACAGGAAACGGGTGCATTAAGAGAGCAGCAGAGGGTCAGGAAACTGGAAGGGTATTGAGCATGTAGTTGGCAGCGAAATCATTATAAAGAAGTCACCGAAGAGCAAGCGCAGACACTCAGAAATAAGGAGACACCAGGACAAGAGATTCTACTCGTGGAGATTCTTAGGTTCCTTTCTCCTCTAAGTACCTTCTGTGAGAGACCCTAACCTGATTTTTAGCACGATAGCTGGTAACAGCCCTGATGATCTGGCTCTTGGGGCAGCTTAGAGGTATGTGGTTGTTTCATGAATGAGAAAAGCTTGGTTTGTGAAAAATGCCTCTGTCTGCTTCCTTTTCTTCTGCAGCCTGCCACTAAGTAGACAGAACCAGCATGACCTGAAGCAGAGGACTTTGGCTCTCAAGAGTTGGCCTGTACTTTCCATCTTGAGCTATATAGTCCATTCTTTAGTATCTGCTTCCTAGTTTTGCTCTGCCACTCCTGATCTTTGCCCTGGTTCATCCTGGAGCTTGTTATTTTTTTTATCAGACTGCTTTTCTGGCTGCTCCCTGAGGCTTTCCTATGCACTCATCTGTTACTGATGGTTGTTTTGCCATGAACCCTCTGGTTCAGGGGCTTTAACTACCAAGACTTGTAGAGGACTTGCAGAATCAGACTCAAATCAGAATGCTTCCATGCAAAAATGCTTCTGCCTAATTTGTAAATTAGGTGCCATCTTTATCTAATTCATAAATTAAGCAATGCCTCGGTCTGACTTGTGAGATTGCCTATGAAACGCTCAAAAATTGATACGTTGCTGTCTGATAAAATTTGCAGTCTGGTGCCAAACTAATGTCTAGTTTTGACTGAAACTAGACATAATTCTGAAGATCCATAATTAGGATCCTCAGTTGTTTAAATTAAAATTGTGAATCAGTGGCTCTGGGGAGGGACATTCTAATCCAACCCTGTGGTGTTTTCCCAGTTAAAACAACTCGCCTCTGAAATTGCTATTATATCTTCACATTTTCCCCATAGGAAACGAAGCTGCTCAAGGAAGGGCATTTTAACTGGGAAAACACTAGTGGGGAAGAGCTAACAGCCTCACTCCCCATGCTTTAGTCCCAGTCCAATTCATTTTCTTGTGTGGGTGCCTTTTTAAAAAAACAACAACAATGGAAAATTATAGTCATGGATCTTCCACATCACTTCACCTTTATGTTTTGATGAAACTGCCATTTCCTTTAAAACTTTGTTTATTTATTTATTTAATTAATTATGCAGTGAAGTGGCAGATTTATAAGTCAAGCTGAAGTTTTGCTCCATTCAATGTTACAAAACTGACGGAAGCTTTGTTTAGATCTCAAATTAGGCAAAGGTGTCACTAATCTTAGGAATTAGGCAGAGGTTATGTGACTGAAGTAGTAATGTTTCCATTTTCATGAATTAGGCAGAAGATTTGTTTAATTTGAAAATTATCAAAAGGCAGTGCCTAATTTGTAACATAAAACAACATTTTGCTTATTGCATTAACAAAACAGTTCCACCAATTTAGCATAACAAGCCTTTGGCAAGAACTCTTTAAAAGCCCATTTGTAATCTAATTATTATCCACCAGCCCCCTTTTTAAAAGCTACAAAAGAGTTTCTAAGCCCTTTCATGTTCTCTGTGATAATTTGTTGATAGACTCTGTCGCATCAGCAAAAAAGATGCTTAACTATAAACAGAAGGCCACATTCACAGCTTGCTTTCTCTAGATTTCCATTCCAGTTTCAGTGCCGATATTATCATGCAGCTTCAAATGAGGTCAGAAAATAGCTAATTATTGTCAATTCATACTGCACGTTTTCATCCTATACACGGATGTGGCAAGTTCATTCTCCAAGCGCAGATCCTTTTCTAGCCAAAACAGCAGCACCCATTCACAAGAATTCTCCCCACACAGAAAAGGGGGAAACCCAAGTGGGGACCCCAAAAGAACTGTGCATGCACTGTGGTTATGGAATGCTGGCAGGCTGTTGAGTAGGGACAGGAATGGAATGCAGTTCCTTCCAAAGTGTATGGCTGGCTGGCTGAAGGCTTGAATAGGAATAGGAGCACTGCATACTGCAACATTTTGTTGCAGCTCCCACTTTATAATATTAAAGTTCTGGTACTTAGGAAATTACTTCATGCCAAAACAAGACCATAATACTTCTCCTACTTGGATGCTGCAAAAGAACTTTCTCTTCTCTGTAGAGACAGCGTGCTGCTTGTTCTTTTACTACGTGTGCCCAATACACCTGAATGTTTTCAGTAGTAATTGGCTGGAGGTCTCCACTGAGCAGAAAGCTCTCTACCCTAGCATTTTTACCAAGTTATTTTGGGCAACAAATTAATCAATATTTTTCATAGACCGGGCTTTCTCTAAACTTGTCAGTTTACTCTAATGTATGTGTTTGCACGCAAACCCACATTTTTCTGCCCCAAGAGTTGTGCATCCTGCCATCCCTCATGGGACTTTGAGCAGCAATAAGAATGTAAAAAATTGGTCTGATTTATCTTATGGAAACAAGACCACTGCTTTAAAAAAACAGTCTTGTTTTTTGTGGCTGTTTGAGATATCCCAATCTGATGCTTCAAAGAAGAGACTGGTAGAAGCAAAATTATTCAGCTGCAAGAATTATGGAGCTAAATACAATGCCATTGTTTCATTTATACGCATGTCAACCCACTGGGTTACCGTAGGCAGTATTCTTCAGCCTTGAGTCTTGAGGTGTTGGGCTGCAACTCCCATCATTCTGGCCATTGGCTAAACTGACTTGGGATGACTTGGAGCAGAGAAATATAAATGGTATGTTTCTGTTCTGGAGGTTCACAATTTAAAACATTTAAAACAGGAGCAGCAACACAAGGAAACACAAAAAAACAAACACAATTCTATTGGCTGGCCAACTTCTGTGTTTGGGACGTTACTCTGTTTTCCCTTCCTAGAGGAAGACCCATGTTAGTCTTGCAGCAAAGTCAACAAAGAGTTGTGTCACACAAGACTCTTTGTTGTCCTGTTCTCCATGGCATTTCTATAGCAACTACAACTTTTCAACCCCATCATGAAAGGTCAGGTCGAACAATAAAGTTGACATTCCAACTACAGACCACATGGGCTCAGGTGGCATGAATTCATAAATCAGTACAGGAAAGGCTGAGGAACTAATGTTCTTCCTGAAATATGCAAGTACTGTATACTTTATGTTAAATGTACAGAATATCATTACTTATTTGCCCACAGTGTAAGTTGCTAAGGAAATGTTTGCATCACCCCATGATTAAATTTTGGTTGGGTCACTAAAGGTAAAGGGACTGCTGACCGTTAGGTCCAGTCGCGGATGACTCGAGGTTGCGGCGCTCATCTCACTTTGTTGGCCGAGGGAACCGGCATACAGCTTCCGGGTCATGTGGCCAGCATGACTAAGCCGCTTCTGGCGAACCAGAGCAGCACACGGAACCACCGTTTACCTTCCCGCCGGAGCAGTACCTATTTATCTACTTGTACTGGTGTGCTTTTGAACTGCTAGGTTGGCAGGAGCAGGGACCGAGCAACGGGAGCTCACCCCGTCGCGGGGATTCGAACTGCCAACCTTCTGATCGGCAAGCCCTAGGCTCTGTGGTTTAACCCACAGCGCCACCTGCGTCCCTGGTTGGGTCACTAGGGACCATTTAAATTGCTTTGTATGCCTATCAGAATTCCCATTGTTGTGACTCCCTTATCTCTCCTTATAGGAATCTTCATCATATGCATTTCACGTTGGCTTGAACTGTTCCCCCCACCCCAACAGTTTCTGACTTCATTCTCTAAACAAAATATGACTGATATATAAGGAGTGTGCTTTATGCGATGATATTGTGTGACTACTAAAAGCAGATCTGGGCACATGGGGTGATGCTTTCTATTCTTCTCTCACTAAACTTTTCAAAAATACTGTGATAATTGAACATATATCAGAGGACCAAATCCTATATTTCAGCTGTTGTGTAGAAGACACTGGAGGTCCTACATCTCCACACAATTAGAGTGTTGCTTGGCAAGTAAATCAATTCCATTACATTAAGAGTTTTCATACCATTATTTCACATTCTTGGCGGCAGCTGGAGCTGACTTGTCACCACGCAAGGGGGATTTTTGTCTGCATCTTGACTTAGAAAGGGAGGCATACACCTCCTTCTCACATTCTGAATTCCAATAACTATTGGGGGGACTGCATTTGTAATTAATTAAAGAAAAAATGAAGATGTAGTTGCACCCTGTTCATTAACCATAAGGTATAGCTTGGCTCAGTCACTAAATTTGACCAGGGAAACTAACTTATTTTGATAGACAGCCATGCCATCTGCCAGGCCAAATATCTGTTGGATTTAGGGTTAAGGATTGGGGTCCAGAGTTGAAAGTGACAATGTAATCAGCTAAAATGCATTTAAATTGATTGTGTTTCAGTGGCACTTTCAGGTAATTGGTTTTGCTATATGCACCTGTTCTGGCCCTCGCTCAACAGTGACTCCTTGACTCAGACAGGGCTTGATTTTGATTAGTGTTGGAACGCAGCTGTGAATGCAAATTACTCTGTCACTAAGTGATGCTTCTGTTTGTTATTTTACCACTTCATTGGCTTTCCAGTGTCATGAAGTAATTCCTAAATTTACCTCTGATCTCTGTTGATTTATGAGAAGGGACCCTCTTGGAACTTCTCTTCATTCTCATGAAACACAAGATGTAACAGTGCTACAACTTGCAGGGCCAAAAGGCAGAAGCTTTGCACATAGGGGAGGAAAAAATATGGCTATCCCCCAAGCAAGTTCCCAGAATTCCTTTTATGTTTCTAGAGAGTCAATTAAAATTTAAACCCTTCAGGAGACTATGGACTACGTGAGCATACAGGCTGATCGTATGGTTCATTCTAGTTGTAACAGTGGGATGTGACTTGGGCTGTCACAGCTAAAGCCGCACACTGGCCCTGGCAAATGAGAGCAGAACTGTCCAATTGCAGTCCCTGCCAGGGAAACTCCCTACCTGTCAACAAATCACAAGATGGCTGTGGGGACTGCCATAACTCTCTCTGACATCAATGTTACACAAGTACTGTTTTCCATGGGTGAAAGCTATGCAGCCAGGAGACGGGCATATATACTGTATGTATTGGTCTTTCCCTGTAGGCTTGTTAGTGACACCAGCAACATTCTCCAGTATGTGGAGTCTGAAAATCAGTGGCGGTTTGCTGACCCCATTTGGAAGATCATAGAATTCAATGGCTAGACAGGAAAATGGGTTTCTGGATGCAGTGGGGGAGGGTGTATTTAAAGCAGTGATGGTCAAACTTGGCCCTCCGGCTGTTTTTGGACTACAGTTCCCATCATCCCTGACCACCGGTCCTGTTAGCTAGGGATGATGGGAGTTGTAGTCCAAAACCAGCTGCAGGGTCAAGTTTGGCCATCACTGATTTAAAGGAATGAGACATAGGGCATGGTAAAGAGGTTGCCTGAGGGAGCAAAAGAGAGCCCACCAGTATCCGCAGGGAGAAAGGAGTATGGTCACCAGTAGGTCCAGATACGTTAGATCATGGTCGGGATTTCTAATAAATTTAATACTCCCAAGAAATAAGCAGACTGCAACAGTCTATTTGTTAAGAAAATGTTTCTCATAAGCTTGCACTTTTTTCTTCTCTTCACAGCCTGGTTTCTTAACTCTCCCTCCATTTCCAATCTTTTTCTTTCATGCAAGTACTGGGAAGAAAAATTGGGATTCTCTGTTGCTTGCCATGATGTTGGCAAAAGGCTAAGCTAATGAATAAATTACTGGTCCTTCTTCCTTTGGGACTCTTCCCTTGTTTATGTGCAATAGTATGTATGGATTCTACTACTACATGATTGTATTGTGGATGTCCTATTGTTTTTAATAATGTAGAAGATAGTTTGCAGGACTGACTTTTCATGGATGTAAAGCACAATATGATGAATATTTTCCATGTTAAATTATAGTGATGTCTAAAATAAATTGTTTTTCCCATCATTGTCAATGATTTTCAGTAAAAAATGAGACGATGTTTAGTAAAACTTCTAAAGAAGCTGTAAAAATGATTATGGATGGAGAAACACATTTTATTGAATATAACTGAAGTGTGACTTAACTATAAACAGCAAATAAATATTGACTGCATTTGTAAAGCAGGAAAATTTTGTTTCGTAACGCAAATTTCTGAGGGATCAAATTAATGTGTGTGGATAGTTTATTTTCCTATGTTTGAGAACAATCCTCTAGCATGATCCACAGGTATGAGCGGGTTAGGATCCAGCAGATCTCTAGCTAAGCTGGCAGGTTCCTGGTACAACCAGGCTATAGCAGCTTAGCTCCCACATCCTCGGCTTAGCTGCAGATGCGCTGCCATATCTCCCCCATTCCAGCTGTCGGGACCCAGCCGGCTGAGTTAAGCCTGGTGGATTTTAAGATGGTGTAAGGCTTGAAAAGGGGGCATGCTTGGAGCATGCTGGGGGTAGGATCAAAGAAGGGAGACTTAGGCTAGATCCTAATTCAGTGTCATGTGACCTGGCAACATGATATAAACTAAGCTGGCCAAAAGAGTGGCATAACTCAAACACTATTTTAAAGGCTTGTTTTCGCTCTGCCAGGCTTAGACCATTTCAGCAGCAGCTCCACTCCTGAATGAAGATTGGATATGTAATTTTATGCCAGCATTGGCAGACCTTGGGGTCTCAAATTTCAGCAGTGCCCTGTTTGATGCCAAAATTGGACACCCCTACACTGTCTGTCGCCTTCTATTCTACATAATAGTTGCAGCACCCCCTGAGGCTCCACGCCTAATGCAACCGAACAGGTCACATACCCCTAAATCCACTTCTGATGCCGGCTTAATTTTCACCAGATTGTTTTAACGCCAGCTTCTTGTGTAGATTATTGCTCCCTTGTGTTGTCCTTGCTACTTGCTACAGGGCAGAATATGTATCTCTGTCTCCCCTCCAGTCATTGAAAGTGGATGCTTCCTTGCTTTAAGATGCTCAGAGAATACAAGTAATAGATCACTTGCCAACAATTTTCACATTAAAAACACATGCTGACTGGAGATAGACAATAGGTTTTAAGATAGTTTAAGGTTCAAGAATAGCAGAGTTGTCAATTCTGATGTGCATGTTCCTCATTTTACTGCAATCTGAAGTCAAACAAGCTTGGCACTCTAAAAATCAGTAAAATTTCTAAAGAGAGATGTGGAATGAGCATGCACAGCCTGGGCAATTATGCTTCTATATCATACCTTTTTCAGCTCTCTGAAGAAATTACTATATTTCTCCAACCAGATTGCTGGCACCTGTAAAAAGAATGAGATTTGCCTGTAAATGGATCTTTCCTTTGTCTTATCAGTGCCATACATCAAGGAGAGGGGATGAAAATAGGTTCTTAAAATTTGCTGCAGTAAGCTAGTGGTAGTAATCAGAGTCAGGCGAAAAATGAAATCAATTGGAAATACTTACTTAAATCAAAGCACAGAAATGATGCAAATATGCCAACTCAGCAATAATACCTGAATGAAATACCTGAATGAAAAGAATGCATGAATGCAATATAAGAGAGCGAGAGCAATATAAATGGAAAGCGATATTTGATTGGCAAATAAAAATAATTAATTGGACAGTTGCCAGTAAAACATATTGTTGCATGCCACCCCAATCTCTGAGCAGTGCAAGATTCCAGGGGTTCCAAGCACTTACCCAGGGTTCATGTTTCCTTTGGAATGAGATACAGCAGGGACTGCGGTGTCTTTATGGTTTATTTACACATATATACAACCTGAGCCTACGATGGAGGGGTTTACAGCATTAACACCCCAAGAGGTCCTCGCTTCCCCCAAACAGAAATCAAACCTTGTTTTGTCTCTCTCTCCAGCTTGCTGCTTTTCTTTTTGCTCTCATCAATCTACCAACTCTCTGTTCCAAACTCTGCCTTTGTCCTTCTAAGTACCTCGAGTTGAGAGAGGGGCCCCGACTTGCCTTCTTGTGCAGAGCCCCGTCCTTTGTTCCCTTAACAACCCATTACCTTACCAGGAAGCTAGCCTGGCTATTCCAACAGTCAGAAAGGGGTGGGGTTGGCATTAGAAGGGTCTCAGCAGACAACCTACTCCATCCCCCAAACTCATAATAATATATATTACTAAGCCCCAAACTGCATTCCCCCAAAATTTCCACCAGTCCAAACTAGTTAAAAGCTTTGCTGTGCTACAGCTGTACAGGCTCTTATTCTACATATCATGAAAATAAATATATATATATATATATAACTACCTTTTCAAGGAAGTATTCAAATGAACCAGTTTCTGCAGGTTCCAGAAAAGAGCTGAGATATGAATACAGGATACTTTGGATAGGATCCAGAATGGTGACTGGAAGAAAGTTCTGGTGAAAATTGAAGGGAAATTAGAATAGTGAAGTCTGAGCCTCACAAAGGAATAAACAGAAAAATAAAGAGGGGTTTTTTTTGGGGGGGGGGAATAACTGCATCTGTTCCAATCTGTTATGAGCCAAATCTCCAGACCCAAAAAGGCTGGCTCAAAGAAAATGACCAAGAACAGCTTCAAAAACTGGAAGTAGTATATTCTCAAAACACTTTTTTTTTAGGGGTCCCTGTGCCTTTGGCTCCTTATGCCACCCTGCCAGTCCTGTACCGCTTTGGGGGGCTGGGATCTGATCTGAATGATTTGCTGGGCTTGAGAAGAATGCAACAGCCATGGACCTTTCGATCCCAGTGGGATAAGCGGAATCAAAGGGTACATGGATGTTGCATCCTCTGCACTCGACCTGTGGGCGTTGGGGGATTCACTCTCCAAGGGCTGCGTCAGCTGGCTGTGCTCCCCCTCCACACGCAGGCGGGCAGGAGGCACAGTGCGGCCCTGCTTGGCTCTGGTGGTGGTGTTGCTGTGGCAAGTGTAGGCAGCAAGGGCTGGACTGGCACAGCAGACTCCGTTCACACTCCGTGCCCCGGGCACCAGCAAACCATGCCACACCACTGGTCAACATGCAAAGGGTGAGTGAGGTATCCGCAGCTCTGGCAGACGTCTGTCCAGTTTATTATTTCCAATCCAGCACTTGAACACATTTGGGCCATGTCGCCGTAGGGTCAAGGAAGAAAAGTTTTACACTGTGGAAGAATTTCGATGATGCCGGAGCTGCGATTACAGTTTCAGAAATTGAGTTGTGCGCCCGTCAATTCATCTATATTACAAACAAAGGAAACAGACCTGGAAGGAGAACAGGAATGTGGCGTGAGAGAAAGTGAGCTATATAAAAAAGGAGATTCTGCCCAACTCTTTCAAGGGAAGAAATGGTTTTGCTTCACTTCCCACTACGACTGAGTCTAAGTGAGCATTGCCACTGGATTTACATTAAATTGAATCTTGGGGTTAATTAGGAGGGTTCCACTTGACAAACCATCTGTCGGGATTCCAACAGAAACAGAAAACAATTTGGTCATGTGTTGCAGAATTCCCCCTGAGGCTTTAGTGATACTTTAGATTGTCACCAAATTTCACCTGAAGTGAAAATTGAAGGCAAATATAGAAGGACCTTGTTTGGTCAAAGTATCCATTCACATTTTGAAGGAAGTTCAAAGAATTTCAATATGACTAGTGACAGTTTAGTATTAGGCTGGGTGTCACTTGAGAAGATCTCTTAAGTTGGATGGCTAAAGGAAGAGAATCATCCATCCTTAGAAGTCTCCAGTTACTACTTTTGCCGCCTCCTTCAACAACTTTCTTTTTTTTAAATCATATTTATTAAAGTTTCCAAAAATATAAAAATACAAAGAAAAAAGACAAAAGAAAGAAGATATTTAAAAACCTTACTTTCATTCCCTACTTTCTGGGACTCCCCCCCCCCCCAATTGTATTCCCCTTTCCTTAATTTGGTTCTACAAGCTCTCACTCCCAATTTAAAGCTTAATTTGTTTAACCCACTATCCAGATTGAATTGTACAAATCTTACCACCGTCCCACATCATTAACAGAAAAAGAAAAAGATTTTCCCCAAGATCCACCCCAGTTCCTTCCACAAATTCCCTTTTTTTTAAACACGTCCGATCAAAGTAAAATAACATGCGTAAGTTATGTAAAGAAATAGAAAATAAGAGATATAGAAAAATTCAAAAAATGGTTACACAGCCTTTGGATTTCAAATCTCCCCCCTTCCCGGTTTGAATTCCCCATGTCCATCAGTCTATACATTATCAGCTTGGAAGTCTCATTTCATGACCAGATTTCTCCCGATTCCATCTTGCCGGTTTTCTTTTAGTTTATTAATTTAAATAATATTTGACTTCAAATGTCCAATCTAACAAAGGCCTTTAATTTCCTTGATCTTTACCACTCCTCCCGTTGTTCTTTCCGTGTCGTAATCAGTCCTTTATTCTTCTTATTCCTCACTTTCTCAGGTTTCTTGTCCTGTTCAGCTGCTAAAACTTTCTAATTCAGAAATCTAGTGTCTCTGCAGAGGTTTGTTATTCAGGAACAAAAACTTACGTCCAGTCCCTTTCTTTCTTCAATAAAAAATTCCATTGTCTTCCTCTGTAGACAAAATACTCTTTCAGTTTTGCAGCTTTCCCAGAAGATAACAAATCCTGTGCGAATCCCAGGGTATTTTTCCACTTACGACCGTTCTTGTAGTATCCCGAAACCCCTCTAGGGGATTGTAATAACTTTGTATCCTCTAATCCAAAAGTCAAATTGTTGCTTATTTTCCAACAGTTTATATCCATATTATAGCAAATTGTAACAAAATTAACCAGCAAGGTCCTCATAACAAAGTCCTCTTTATATTCTCCAGCTTTGACAGCCACTTTGACAGCTGTCAAAGTCTCCGTCTCTCTTCACCAGGCTCCACGAATCGCCCCGGTTCCCAGTGGGGTTGCATTTTCTTCTCACCCTCCACTCTTCTCCTCCAGCACATTTCTTATAATTTCCCATCGTGAAATTAATGATTTTTATCAGAGACATACTTCCCTTTGGACCTTGGTTACCCAGTCCTTGTTTTGGAATGCTTACAATAGGGGGATTGACTTCCTTTTAAATCGCCCCGCTCGTGCCAAATCAAAATTTTGAACCCGGTTTCCCAATTACTCACGGGTTGTTGTTAATAGTCAAATTTTCAATAGAAGAAGTCAGCGCTCTCCGTCGAATGGCATGCGGCTGCGCTCGGCAGGAAAGCAGTGGACTCAAAGCACCACGCCACTCCCAGGCACCCGATCCGAAGCCTTTAAAAGGCTCCTTCACGAGTCGGGAGGGCGCTAATGGTGCAAGCCGAGTCACCCATGTCCACGGACTCCGTGCCCGTGGTTTTTAAGGGTCCCCGCGTCGCCGGCGCGGTAGGACCCAGCCCCTGCCGAGCAGACTCCCTCCGGAGCTCGGAGGGAGTCCGCCATTCGGCGATGGCGCTAACCCGGAAGTCCTCCTTCAACAACTTTCAGGGAGGCAGCCATGTTGTTCTGTCACAGCAAAAACAATAGAAGAGCATTGTGACACTTTAAAGGCGAAAGAACACGCTATAATAAAAACGTGGTTGTTGTAGAAACAGTTGCAACCAGCCACATCCTCAGAGATAAAGTTCTCTATAGACATTTTAATAGGAAAATTGGTGAGCGGCTTCTCCCAGCTAGTGAACAGAATGTAAGTGAGGCTGGCACAGTTTTACATTCCTGAAATCCAACTTGTTAAGGCTGCTTCATCAATGGTGAATTTGTGAGGTGCAAAAGGCGGATGATAATTGTTTAAGGCCTAGCAAATTCATTCTTTCTTTTTTAACTAGAGGAAATGTGACTTTGACTAGATGTCGGCCTTTCTACTAGGTCCATTCTCTAAAGTTATTTTCTTTAGAACAAACCATGGGGTAGTACCTCAGTTTTCTAACATAATCTGTTCTGGAAGACTGTTCGAGTTCTGAAACGTTCGAAAACCGAAAACTCAGTACAGAAGCCTCAATACGGGAAAACTCAATATAGAAAACTCAATACGGAAACCGTGTGGCATGTTTGACTTCCGAGGCAAGTTCGAAAACCGAAGCATTTACTTTCGGGTTTGCAGCATTTGAAAACCGAAATGTTCGTCAACGGAGACGTTAGATAACTGAGGTAACACTGTATATAAGTTCTACTCCCCTCCTGCCCCTCTCAACCCTACAAGTAGGCTCATCTAATAACATTGCCTGTATCTGAAATGCATAATACACCATAACGCTCACACATAATATCCTGGTATCCAATGCTTCCCTCAACCCTCTAGAGCAGATTTTGAAGGGGCACAAGGTTGTAGAGGAGAGGAGAAGAGGCATCATTGAAAATGGCCTCCCATTCTGCTGATGGGTCCCTCCCAGGACCAGCCAACCCATGAGGCAAGGCTGAGGCGAATGCCTCAGGCAGCAGGATCCACAGGGGATGAAGAACTACTGGTATGTCTATATTCCCCCCTTGCTCCTGGTGTACTTCTGCCCTCATGCCTTCTTCCCTGGCTGGGAGGTGGGCGCCATTTTGGGGTCCACCTCAGGTGTCTAAATGTCTTGGGCCAGCCCTATCTCTAGGTGCCCTACTTCTATTCGGATCGACTGGGGTTGGACTAAATGAGCCTTGGGGTCCCTTCCCACTCTCTGATTCTGTGACTGGGGGGAGGTTGCCTTGCAAGGGCCTTGCTTCGACATAAATGCCTTGCCTTCATATTCAGAATTCGGACAGTTGCACAGCCCTAGTCCATGATTTAGTAAAATAGGCATACATTCTAGTCAGAGGGGAACATTGCACTATTATACTAGTTCTGCCAGCACACGCATTTCTGCTTTCCAGACAGAACAATAAACCCTCTCCTATTTTACACCCTGTTCCGGGAGGTTATCCTGATCTCCCAGAGCCAATTTGTGTGTGGGGGGTGGAGGTACACAGGGGAAAGAGAGGGTTGGAAAGTCCCATTACACTAAAAGGGCTTGTGCTGGCACCTGCCACTGCAGCTATCTAGATGAAACTGGTCCATAAGTTTCTACATTCCCATAATACACACTTCTCCATCCATCCATCCATCCATCCATCCATCCAAGCAAAAGGCATTGTCACAGTTCAAGGACATATTCTGAAAGCTCTTGATCAAGGTGCAGAGCTGAGCCAGTGAGGGGGTGAGGTGACCTGGGGAGAGCCCTGTGGATCAGATAAACACACATAGAGGGTCATCCCTGTCCTTAGTGATCTACTGCAAATCACCGACAGATTTGTGGGTGGTGTGCCCAGCCCTGTACTTGAAGAGCATAATTTCTGATCCCAGTGGGCTAAATACCGGGAGTGGGATCTGAGTATGAAACACTCTGAGCTAAATTAGGCCTTTTGCTTTTGAAGCTCCTTGGTGTTCAAATAGATTTTGCATGTACTCTGCTGTTTGTTGTGGGTTTTGTTTCTGTTTTTTCATTTTGGGGGGAAAAACCGTATTATTAATGTGTGTTTTTAATGTGCACTTGATCATATTTTGCATAATTATTTTATTGACGTCAACTGCCTCGGGCACTGTCTGAGGAAAAGCAAGTGTAGACATTTCATAAATAAAATAAATAATTGGTCTCCGGAGGGCAGAGTAAAGCTTCATTATGGACGCAGCAGAGAAATTCAAGGAACAATCCCTCAGAGTTGATGAGCAGGCGGTGCAGCGTAGAGCAGTCGAAGGCAGCTTTTCGAGGATGAATTGGGCAAGATATTGGAGGCAGGTGCATTTGGGTATTTTTGTCCTATGGTAGAGATGGATTTGCATCCTTTTACAGAATGCAACCCTTCTTGGTGTATTAATATTTTAAACAAGCCAAGCGTAATCTCATGAGAAAGCTTAAAAGGTTTCAGCATGCATTGTTGCTGTTTTCCAGTGCTAAGAAATTGCCTATGTATTTCTGATAGGCGGGTTACTCATCCTGCTCCTTGACACAACAGCCATGAGTGTTGAAGGAACGAGTGAAGAATTGGGCTGCCTGCTGGGCCTGGAGACTGTAAATCTGACAGTCGTGACATTTATGATCAACGTTAATGGGAATGTCAGAGCTACAGGTGTTCAAATAGATGAGTAATGCAGCATGTGACTATATGTGGTAATTAGCAATCCACGGTTGCGTGGGGGTTACGGGATCCAGGATAAATTGTCAGAGGCCAATTAAAATGAGGTATATTGAGTGTGATAATCAAGTCTGGTTAGAGCAGTTCTCTAGTTATCCCATAATAATGCTGCTGAAAGAACTGAAGGGCTGCTAAAGGCCATCAAGCATATTCTGGCTTAATGCAGAGGCCATAGTTTGCTTGTGCGTCATCACTTAAAAACTGGTGACACCTTGTCTCCCACATGGGCATGCATATAGAGCATACATAAGGTGAATGATGTGCGTCTGGACATAGAAGGACCAGAAAACTATAAACATCACCCGATCTGCATTTATACTCTGTGTTCTAGGAACATCTTGTTACAGGCCACCCCGATTCCTGCTGAGCTGTCCACAGGATTCCAGGGGTCTTGGCCCTCAGCCAGCGCATGTGCTGCTTAGACACAGTAGAGGATGTCATAGATTTAAGAAATATTATTCATTCACATATTTTACACTTGAATTTAGTTGGAGGGAGTCCAGATCTTACAGCATGCATGGTCATTTCAAGAGAGTCTTGTCCCCCACAGCAGTGCAGCACTTGAGTCCAAGGCATCTGTCCCAGCCTGCCTTCAGCCAGCCTGCTCAAGATGGATCTCTTTGTTCTCCCTTCTTCTTCTTAGCACACCTTGCTAAAGGCACTCTTTGCCTGTCACCTCACATCCGGTTACCCTGGCAAACTTCCAAATCCCCCGTCTCTGTCGACACCTCAGCATAGTGGCCCATGGCCCTGCATCATCATCATCATCATCATCATTATTAACAACAACAATAATTTTATTGTTCATATCCCATGCATTTGGTGGGTTGCCCCAGCCACACTGGGTATTCATGGCCCCAACTTGGCCAGGTCATTTTGAGTAGGCTAACCCAGGAATTCCTCTCCAGCTTGTATTTCTCTTTTTATATCCCAAATAATCAAAATCCTACCATTTATTAATTTATAGAGTTTAGGGCAGTCCCACCCCCAAACCTATAACAATAGGAAGCTTGACTTTTATTGAATCAGACTATTAGTCCTCCTGTGTGTGTTGTGTGTGTGTTGTGTTGGCATCTGTCTGTCTTGAGAGACAATGGAGTGCACCTCTGGGGGTGAAGTCAACCCACTGGAGAATCACAGCACCTGCTGTGGCTGCAGAGACTGGGAACTTGTAACAGCTACCTCCCACGTTGTTTTTCTGCATTAGCAGCACTGAAGTGATCTCTCCAGGGCACAAGCCTGGGCAATGTGTATGGGGGTCCTGTAATGCCCAGACACCCCCCCCCCATCTTGGCCTTGCTGAGGTTCACATAGCTCAGTATTGTCTACTCTGGCAGCAACCTTTCAGGGTTTCAGACAGCTGACGCTGCCCGGAATTGAATCTGGGAACTTTTGCACCCTTAAAGATATTTAAACATTAAACAGTTTAGAAGTGCTTTTTCCCCAAAAAAGTGTGGGGGGGTGAACATGTGCTGTAACACTGAGCCACCAGTGTAATCAGAACACCACTTCTCTTCAACCATATCTTTACTTCCTGCAATGCAGCTGGGATATACTGAATTCCAGAAGAATTCCTGAGCAAGATAGCAGGAAGTTGCTTTTGCCCCACTCCCATAATAAGTTGATTTACCCATCTGCTGTTAACTGCACAAAAATTGTTTTTCACATAATAATACAGTGGTACCTCGGGTTACGGACGCTTCAGATTACAGACTCCGCTAACCCAGAAATATTGCTTCAGGTTAAGAACTTTGCTTCAGGATGAGAACAGAAATCGTGCTCTGGCGGCGCGGCAGCAGCAGGAGGCCCCATTAGCTAAAGTAGTGCTTCAGGTTAAGAACAGTTTCAGGTTAAGAACAGACCTCCGGAATGAATTAAGTACTTAACCTGAGGTACCACTGTAATAATAATTTATTATTATGGTCAAAGACCAGCTTGTGAAACACAAATGGAACTACAATCCCAAAAGCGAAACAAACATTTAAAACAATATACAGTCATACCTCGGGTTGAAGTTGCTTCAGGTTGAGCACTTTCGGGTTGCGCTCCGCGACAACCCAGAAGTAACGGAACACAGACGCATAGGCACAGGTTGCATTTACTTCAGGATGCGAACGGGGCTCCGGAACAGATCCCATTCGTATCCAGAGGTACCACTGTACAACAATGGATTTTAAGTTTAGCAATGCGGTAGGCATATAAACACATTAAAACTTTAAGATAGACTACCATAGAGAAATGACCCAGAATCGCCCGTGGATCCGAGTTTGGGAATTTTCTTAACCAGCTAGTTTGAATCGGGGGGTGGTCTGTGCCTACAGATCTGTGCGCAGAATCTGGCGACAGTCAGAGTCGTCTTGTGATCTTCGCCTAGCAGGAGAAGATCGAATTTTTGCTTTACCGGGAGGTCACATATTGTTTCCCTTTTTTAAGAGAGAGGGGTGGGGGAGAGAGAGAAACCCTGTTGTCACTTGTTAGGTTTAAAAACGCCAAAGATAACACCAAAGAAAGGAATAGCAGTGAGGGAGGAAAGCTAAAGGAGGGAAATCATTTTGACAATGTCAGTTGTAAATAAGCACTAATATTCCATTTGGACCATGCAGATCTCCCCTTGCTGGTTTCACATATCTGTCTTTTCTCCCTACAACAGAGTAACAATAGCTTTGGAGGGAGCAGTTCAGACTGGGAAGGTGGAGTGAAGGGGAAAAGGTTAGCTAACCCTTCTCTCCTCAGTACCACTCCTCTAACCAAATAATAATAATCTTATTATTTGTACCCCGCCCATCTGTCTGGGTTGCCCCATCCACTCTGGAGCACGTTACAGGTCACAGTTTGAGAGAGAGAGAGAAAATAAGAGTTGGGAGAGCTAGCCAGGTAAGTTGATCCTTACCTGGTCTTCATCATCTAGGAAATCCGAACTGTTTGGTGGCTATCCTATGCCTCTAAGCATAGGAAAGCGATAAAAAGATAGAGACGACCTAGATCCAGACTTTTAATAGTATCATACAGTACAATTTCTTTAGTTCTTTTCTTCAAGGACAAGAACAGTACCAGCTTTCCTTAAAATATAAGACCTAGTTTCTTATTTATGGCCCACATTTAGAACTAAAATTCCTATATCCAGCTTTCACATGCCGGCGTTTTATCTAGCTTATAAATAATCCAACAGTTGTCTGGCTATGCACTTTAATGCCAAGGCTGTAAATAAACACTTTATGTTGATGAGCCCCACTTAAAAATGCAGGCTTACCTTGGCAACCAGGTACTCCTCGACATGTCACTGGCACATAAATTCTTACATTTTTTTTAGATCACTAGCTTGCTATTTTGCCCACTGCTTTGCAACTACATAAATTCAAAGAATTGCTTGCTGGCATCTCCTAATAACTTCTTAGAAATAACTAGGCATGCACTGCCAAAGTTCTAACAGGCAGTTTCACACCAATATGTGGAATTCACACATACACACACACCTGCCTCCTTGGTCTCAGAACTTTATCAGCTCCCAATCCCTTTGCAATTGTTGACTTCATTAAATACCACAAGTTAGGAATGAGCAATAGATAACTTAGATTAAAAACTCAGTACTTGGGTGTAAGTCCCATTGAACTCAGTGAGACGTCTGAATTGGCATGTATAGGATTAAAGGTAAAGGGACCCCTGACCATTAGGTCCAGTCATGACCGACTCTGGGGTTGCGGCGCTCATCTCGCTTTATTGGCCGAGGGAGCCGGCGTACAGCTTCCGGGTCATGTGGCCAGCATGACTAAGCTGCTTCTGGTGAAACCAGAGCAGCGCATGGAAACACCATTTACCTTCCTGCCAGAGGAAGATCACCTATTGATCTACTTGCACTTTGACGTGCTTTCGAACTGCTAGGTTGGCAGGAGCAGGGACAGAGCAATTGGAGCTCACCCCGTCGTGGGGATTTGAACCACCGACATTCTGATTGGCAAGTCCTAGGGTCTCTGGTTTAACCCAAAGCGCCACCCGCGTCCCTTGTATAGGACTGCACTTAGATAATTATAGGACATTATAGGGTTCACATTGCAGTCGGTTCAGCTTCTTTCAGTTATGGTTGCGAGTGCTGTCTCCCTAGTTCATTATCTTGTAAAGACGTGTCTCATTTCAAGCGATGATCACAGCAGAACCCTGTTATGTAGCCCTACTGTCTCTTTGTCCTAATTTCCTCCAACATTATACAATCTAATTTCTCGGGTATTTCTTCTGCCTGCCTGCTCCCTACCTTAACTTCCCTTTTTGTTGGACCATTTGCTCACTCAGCTTCCTGCCATCAGCCCCCCATTGCCTCATTCTTTTCTTTGTGTCAATAGCTCACAGATCCTATGATGTTTTTTGCATATCCACATTGAACTTCCATCTCCCCCAAGCAAGCTCTCTCAAATAAGCTGGTCGCAGGATATCACCCACTTGGTGAAGCTAAGTAGGTCTGGATCTGCAGACCCTCCCAGATTTAGAGAAGTCGTCCCGGTTTCTGATTGGATCCCAGAATGTCCCACTTTTCCTTAGGACACCCCTATTTTAATCAGAGAAGTGTTGAATGGTATGGAGTTATGTGACCCCTGAGCCAAAGAGATAAGTATCTATACAACCTTTAGAAAACAGCCCTGTAAAGGGAAGGGTTTTTTAAAAAAATGTTTAATGTTTAAAAATTATTGTTGTTATCATTATTGTTATTATTATTAAATAGGATATCCCTATTTTCATCTGAGAAATGTTGGAGGATATGGGAAAATCTGGTCAGTACTTGGATGGATGATGGCCTGGGAACCACATGTATGCTGCTGTAGGTTTCATAATGGAATAAAGGTGGAATATAAATGTAAGAAAATCAGTACAGTCGTACCTTGGAAGTCGAACAGAATCTGTTCTGGAAGTCCGTTCGACTTCCAAAACATTTGGAAACCAAAAGGCAGCTTCTGATTGGCTGCAGGAAGCTCCTGCAGCCAATCGGAAGCCACGATGGACATTTGGGTTCCAAAAATCATTCGAAAACTAGAACACTCACTTCCGGGTTTTGATCGTTCGGGAGCCGATTTGTTCAGTAGCCAAGGCGTTCGAGATCCAAGGTATGACTGTATATAAATTCACCTTGGGCAGTCAGAAAGTTTATGAGCATTCCATTACATCAGAGAAGCTTAACCCAAGGCTGGGGAAAGAAATTCACCCCTAGTATTGGCCCAAAGTCAAGGGCTTTATAAGAGACCACACCTGTCTCTTAAACTCAAGAAGCTGCACACTGGCAAGGTATGTAAGAACAGTCCATGTTACAATTACTTTAGACTTCTTTATTGAAGCTGGCAGGTATCTGCCATCTTTTGTTTTCCTCAAGGAGTGTCACTAACCCAACAGTTCCATTTTAATTTTCTCTGTACATGACATTCCATCTTCTTGCTCAACTTCTATGGTATTTTTTTCTCGGTGCCCTCCAAGTGATTATTTACCTGCTGAAAACTCTGTTTTGGCTCTCTGAGGAGAGTGGTTGCTTTTGGCAGTTTTGCTTCAGAGGCCCAGTGGACCAGATTCGGTATTTTCCAGGGAGAGGAGGTCAGGTGTTGATGGCAGCTGACAAGTTTTAATTCCAGAGCTTCAATAGTGAGATGAATGGCACACTGACTGAACAAATAAATTAGTCTGGCTTGGAGGTTTGAGCAGCTTAAATTTATCATTAGGGAAAGGTGTAATTTAATTTCAATAAACAGAGGGAAACTTTGGGCTCTCCGGTGACAATACAAGGCTCTCTCAGTAAGAGCTGTGAGAAGGCATAGAGTTATTAATCTTTTAAGTCTTTGCAGCCTTTCTACAGTCAATTGTATGAGCCCGTTTAATAACATTTTGAAGGTCTGTTGAGAATAGCCTTTGAGTCTCCGTAAAAAAATTCCCAATACCTTATGAAAACTAATTAATTTTTACTCTCTTGCTATGTGTACTCCAGGAACCTGAGTTAGTACAACAGTTAATAGGTAGAGAAACAGAGGCAAGTTGAGTTCCCCAAGTCAATATACAACTTACCAGTAATGATCTGAATCATTGTGATCCTATAAAACTCTATACATAGTTTGTGAGTATAAGAGGGACTATTATCTGCCCCCACCATTCCTGCGTGCTCTTTATGCAGTCTATTCACCTATAAATCTCTCTCCCCCCCCAAAAAAATAGTTACATATATTTTTTGGAACATGGGACTGGAACAACTACATTGTCAAGTGGACTACTGGAGTAAGACCTAAGCAACCTTGATGCTAAGCAACCTCGGTGTGATGGAAGTAGGTGTTTCAGAGAACAGTGTTTTGCCCAGTCACCTTTAGAAAGATCATCTGAATTCCTTTAGGCTGCATGCTATAAAACAATAATTTTCCTCCCATGACTAATGGATCTGCAAAGGTAAACCCAATCAAGGGTGAACAAGGTTTCATCATGTATATTAGAAAGCAGCTGCAAGTGTGCATTGATTTAGCCAGAATATGCTCTTAAATCTTTTCATCTAACAATGAAGTCTGCCATCGTGAAAGAATAGGGATATCAGATTGTTATTTCCTTATATTTATTAATGGTATCTTTCTTGCCCAAGAATAATTTCACAGATCTATCCTTTCCTGTGGATGGCATCATTTTGCTGTCAATGGATTTACCGTTTAAGAATATCAAGAAATTGCACTTTGACAAATGGCTGCCTCTGACTCATAGAGCCAGTTTCTTCAGGGGCTAAAGTGTCCTTTGTTGTTAAGGCTGCCACCTTTTTCCAGACAACCACAGCCCTCCCATGAAATAATTCTGAGTTGTTTATTTCATAACAATACAGCTGCTTTGTAGGCCACAGAATAAAGGTAAAGGGACCCCTGACCATTAGGTCCAGTCATGGCCGACTCTGGGGTTGCGGCGCTCATCTCGCTTTATTGGCCGAGGGAGCCAGCGTACAGCTTCCTGGTCATGTGGCCAGCATGACTAAGCCGCTTTTGGCGAACCAGAGCAGCACACAGAAACGCCGTTTAACTTCCCACTGGAGCGGTACCTATTTATCTACTTGCACTTTGACATGCTTCCGAACTGCTAGGTTGGCAGGAGCAGGGACCGAGCAACGGGAGCTCACCCCATTACGGGGATTCGAACCGCCGACCATCAGCAAGTCCTAGGCTCTGTGATTTAACCCACAGCACCACCCGCATCCCCTAGGCCACAGAATAGAGACACTTAAAAAAAACCCACTTGTTTCTTCATCGTACCCATATTTCTGATGCGTGGGTTTAGAGTAGGCCATGTACAGCATGAAAGAAAAGAGAGATGGAATCCAGAGATTTATCATAAGGCTGAGCTTGAGCATTTCCAAGGAGAGGTTCTGGTTTTGACTGCATTTTGATAGCTGGTGTTAATTGTGTTTGGGTTATTTTGCATTTGAAGTAGCATATTTTTTTTCTTTTTCTTAAATTTTGCTTAGATTTCCAAGGCCACACCTACATACGCAGCGGAAAACATTTATATCATTATTTATTGCATTTATTAGTCATTCGTTTTCACTAAAAGTGACCCAAAGCATCTTAGAAGAAGCAAACATTATAAATACCAGAAAAAGATGAACCTAAAAAGCTCATCTGTAATATATCCATAAAAGTGAAAACCTAACTCACTCCACCCCACCAAAAATAAAAATAAAAATGAAGAGGCCAAAATAAGGTAGCAAAATGTTAAAGTAGTAAAATAGGATGGACCATTTCAGACTACAAATGAGGTTTCATTTATGGATGTTCTTCCATATGAAAAAGCATCTTACAGATATAGAATTGGGATATTAGGGAGAATACAGCCTCACCCTGGACAGCTCAGTTGGTCAGAGGATGATGCTGACAATACCAATATTCCCATATGGAAGAGCTCTATATTTCTTCATTGCAGAGGGTTGGACTAGATGATCCTCAGGCTCCCTTCCAACCTGATAATTCTGTGATTCATTCTGATTTTTCTACATCTAGGAACCATACATTTACTGTGACACACGCCATTGCAGTCGCTCTGGAACATAGACTCTACATTCCTATGCCTCTATAGGGATTCAGTTTCCGGTTTACTGAGGCTTCAATTGAGGTTCCATACAAAGCACTCTGTTCTACCACAAATAATCATTTATAAGCCATCCTCCAGGATGCAAATTAAATTCACCTCCTTGGTGCACTTGCCACGCTGTGTTTGTGCTGCGGCACCAAACACACGAGGTATTTTTAACAATAAAAGAAGGGGAAATCAGAAGTGGCAGGGAGTGCAACTGGTAACTGAAATGAAAAAGTAGGAGCTAGCAGGAGGCATGGAAAGAAAGGGTAGGGGATGACGGGAACTGCCCATATCTGAAAAACTATAGAAAGGTGTCTGGGAATGGTTTGAAAAGCAGTTTATTTTATTTTTATTTATGATTTTCAATTTTATACATTTCAATAATTTTACAATCATTTTAACATTTCAAAACTTGACTTCCTTCCCTCTCTTTCTGCGGTTCCTTAATTTTTAATATTTTCTGCATATTCAAATTAATTTGAATATGTTCTTCAAATATATACTCTTATAAAACTGCAGGTTATTACAATAATCCTGCCAGTGTTTTTATCTGTTTATAATTTATCTGTAAATATTCAATAAACCATTTTCATTCTTTTATTTAAAAAAGTTTGTTATCTTGATTTCTTATTTTTCCGATAAGTTTTGCCATTTCTGCATATTCCATAAGTTTTTGTATCCATTCTTCTTTTGCTAGGACTTCTTTCCATTTTGGGGCCAGTAACTTTCTTGCCGCTGTAGTCGCATACATGAATAAATTTTTATACAGTTTGGGTAGTTCTGTCCCTATAATTCCCAAAAGGAAAGCTTCTGGGGTTTGTTATAAACGTTATTTTAAACATCTTTTTCAGTTCATTATATATCATTTCCCATTAAGTTTTAACCTTACTACAAGATTTACCTGGCAGGGGAGAACCCATTATCGTGAAAAGCAGTTTTACTAGTGTTGGCAAATTTCTTTTTTCAATATTCCCAGCTCCAGGTAACTCCAAATTTACTGAGAAAAACGTTCAGGACAGCAGCTGTACATGGTGAAAGACTCCTGGACATGGGAGAATTAATGGGTATGCTAGGGGTAGACAGTCTGTATTGAACTGAATATACCTTGAATATTTCAGATCTTGTGGAATAGTCCTTGAAGGCTGTACTCCTACCCCCACTTTCCTGGGAGTAAACCAGTCAACTTGAAAGGATTTACTTATGCGTGGACTTTCATAAGAGTGCAATACAAACAATCCATTGTAGTGGAACTGAATGCTGATTCTCCAATTGAGGGGAAAAGCATCTCATCTGTCTGTCAGAATCGGGGGGGTCGAAAGGCCATCTCCCCTCATCCTTGCCACTGCGCAGATCCATCAACCTCTGCTCTAGTGTACATCAGTGACTCAAGCTTGCAGACTTGACCACACTTTACTCAGCAGTGTAAACTGCGCAACAGAAGAGCCTTGAGGCTGTAGACACATACTAAACTACACATTTATTATACATAAATCAGGACAAAGAAAACATGGCATCTCTCCTTGCCGTCTTCTCAGAGAGAGACTAAAAACAAAAGCAATACAGAGCGGAAGTTCCGCTCATGCCACCAATCTGTGCTGGAATGTAAACAGACATGTGACATGTAACAATCCCATGTCTGCAGCAAAGGATGGAATGGAATCCCAACACTGTCTTGGAAGGCAGTGCTTTTGCAGCCAGTGGTGACTGTGTCCTGACATTCCACATCAATAGTGTCAATAATAATACTGACTTACCCTGCAAGGATGTTGTAACATATGGAAAAATCTTTTGAACATTCCAAGGTAATATGCAATTGATTGGGGTTGATAGTGGTGGGGTCTACAGAAAAAGAGATAGAGAGGCTGTGGGAGTAAGCTGGGTTTATGAAGGTAAAGAAAGACAGGTGGGCAGCCAGGTAAGATGAAAGGGTGAGCCGGGTTTCCTTTTAAATGAATTTATTTGCAAGGCTGTGTACATTATTTTTTCTCAGGTTGTGTATGTGGTCACTTAGTAATCTAGAGGACCATTTTCCCAAGTGGTGGCTTACCACGACATGCATTCAGCAACTTAGTGAGCTGGTCATGTTCACTGTCTGGCCCACAGGTGACAAGAGCACAACAAGGAAGGTGGCAGCTCCCCTAGGAGGAAAGGCTACAACATCTGGGTTTTCTTCATTTGGAAGAAAAGGTAAGCAAGGATGGGGGAGAAACATGATACAGGTGTATAAATTTAGATGTGGTGTTGAGAAAGTGAATATCCCCCCGCTGCCATTTTGCAGAATCTGAGCCCATCAAATGAAGGATAGACTTCTTTGCACAGAATGTGAAACTATGGAACTGACTACCACGACATCATGATAGAGTTGGAAAGTTGGAAGGGACCCTGATAATCATTAGTCCAGCCCCCTGCAATACAGGAATATGCAGCTGTCCCATACGAGGATCGAACCTGCAACCTTGGCATTATCAGCACCATGTTGTAACCAACTGTGATGGCCTCCAACCTAGGCAGCTTGAATAGAGGATTAAATAAATTCATAAGGCTATCAGGGGCTGCCTCCGGGATGAAAGGCAGCATTCCTCTGAGTACCAGTTTGTTGGAAGCCACAAGTGGAAGAGTCCATACCTCACTTGTGGGTTTCCTGTTCCCAAGGTTATCTGCTTGGTGATAAAATGTTGGCCTATGTAGACCTATGGTCTGATCCAGAAGGACTCTTGCTCTTGCCACTCGGTTGATTCCCTGGGTAGGCCCAGAAGTGTGATAATACTCCTCTCCACTTTGCAGAACAATATAGATCGCTGGCTTGCCACATGCTTAATGCAAACCAGGGCAACTTGCCACTTAGTAAACTACTGTTTATCATTTATATAGTGCTGGAGAGCGTTCAAAACAATTTACGATGCTTAGATCCACGTCTAATTATAGCCCATAATTTATTAAGCCTCCAATAATTAAATTAACTGCTGTAGATGATATTGATGAATTCATTTAATACAACTTCAAATAATTAAAAAAAAACACCACCCCACCATGCTGGACATATTTCAATACAAATCTTCCTCAGCAGTATTATTAATCACAGTTCAACATATCCACAATTTGGTTTTCAAAGCAGGTTTAGTGGATACCTTCTTTGGCCTTAGATATGATTGTATCCAGACAAAAAAACATAGAACCAACAAATCCCATTTAAAATATTATTCCTATGTTCCCATATGAAAGGCCCTCAGAAAGGAGCAATTTTTTGTCTGAATGTATAAAAAATTGTTTTAAAATTCCAAAGCCAGTCTGGAGCACTTGCTGCTTTCGTTGTGGTAGGAAAATAAAACTGCAAAAATGTGCCTTTTCCCACTTAAAAACAACATTATATTGTGTAAAATGCCACATAACCCCAATAGCTGCTAAAACGTAGCAAAGAGTAGAATTTCACATTTACATAAAACTGGAAAGTAGATCCCACCTCCATTACCCAGCAAAGTAAATCAACCTAGATTCCAGTTATACTCTATACAGTAAATCTGCTTCAGAACTTTTGTAATCGACCAGACCTGCGCCTTATAGCTATAAAATATTGTGGGAAATTATTAAAGAATGAAAGCCTCAGCTGCTGTAATTAATGTGCAATGATCCCATGGACTAGTAGGACTAATTCCTAGAGCTTTGAGGTTTAAGATGTACAAACCCTTCGGAGAAATGTGGTCGCCTGAGGGAAACCATAACTGATTTATTAAGAATCCTAAGGCTTGCCTTTCATATCTTGGACAAATGGTAAGTCAGCTCCTAGGAGTTTTGTACATCTCTATCAAGGTGCCATCCCTCCATGTTGAGATTCATTTGCCAGAAGACAAAATCCCACAATAAAAAGTATTTGTCACAGATGACAATCACACAATTTTGCCATCTTGGAGACTGAAGAATGATGCCTCTTACTACAAAGTGACTGCAGGGGCAGCCAAACCAAATCTCATACGTAGTTTTTATCAGTTCAACATGTTTTCAGGCTATTTAGTGCCTCCAGTACAGATTTTTAGTAGGATTTTAATTAAGGTTGGGATACAGTAAGTTGGACACCGAATAGTTTTGATAGGGAACATCTGGACCAGCTGTCCAGATAGATGTAGCTTGGGGGCTACTTTGGTTTTGTTTTGTTTAACTGCTCTCTCCTCTTTTCAGAACCAGAAATCAAATGACATGAAAGAAATAAAATCAGGCTTGCAGAATCTGCCTTGTTTTTGTACTAGAACCTTGATATCCCCTGGCTGGAGCCAAGTGCAAAATTGGTTTTCAGGACCAGAACTGAGCTCTCAGCCCTGCCACACAAATATCTACAGTATTCCTGCACATTGCTCAAAGATCTACCACTGGATCCCAATCAAACTTTGGCCCACCCATATTTTCGGGGGGGGGGGGGTAATTGGTTTTAAAATCTCTCAGAATGAAAAGCAGAAACGCTTTGTTTCTAAATCTGTTTTCTTCTGTCAACATTATCAAAGTAACAAACTAACATGATGCCTAGCAGCTAATTTCAAAGTGGTCCAACACTCAGTTTGCACGTAACAGAGGTGAACATTTGCTGCCTAGGGTACACAAGTGTGTGTCTTCTGTACACTACAGTGCTCTGCATCGTAATGGTTAGCCTGGTCACTAAGCTCACTAAGTAAACCGGTGGGGTAATTGATAGTGTGTTCGTGCCATATCATTTTCTACTGATGACTTTCCAGAAGATGAAAAACAGATTGTTCGCCCTCTCCAGGAATGCTCCCAGTTATGAGAAAAGCAAATTCCCTGGCTTGACATTTGATGTACCTTTTTGTCTGATGAAAGCATTTTTCTCTAGCAGGTATTTTAGAGTGCCCAAGGCATAGAAACAGGCTATTAATGCTTTCATTTTCACAGTGGTATCTGCAGGCAGTTGGTCATTGATCTATCTCCAGGACCAGATCTTGACTGTGCCTTGGACAGAACTGCGTTATGAGCTTCCCTGACGTGCTGTGCTAAAAGTATCCTTTGGGATGATTCATTCCCTGGGTTCAGAATAGGCCTTTTATGAGAGCATATTGCAATGGGCCTTCAAAGTCCTGTGGGTGATTTGACACTTGAGGAGAAAGAGAGATATGAATCTGATTCATGCAAAAATTACATTCTAAATATAGAATGATACACCCCTATGTTTGCAAAGTTTGGTAAATACCGTCCACAATACATGCCATGCCCCAGAATGAAGAAGCCAGGCCAGGCTGGATTAATCATTAAGAAAAATTAGCCCTACCGAGCGCCTTCTCAGTAGTGGCACCTGCCCTGTGGAACGCCCTCCCATCAGATGTCAAAGAGATAAACAACTACCTGACATTCAGAAGACATCTTAAGGCAGCCCTGTTCAGGGAAGTTTTAAATGTGTGACATCTTTGGTCTTTATGGAAGCCGCCCAGAGTGGCTGGGGAAACCCAGCCAGTTGGGCAGGGTACAAATAATAAATTATTATTATTATTATTATTATTATTATTATTATTATTTGCTTAGGGCATCAGGGAAGGCGGGCACCACATAAATTTACCATGACCAGATTTTAAACGTTACAGTGGTACCTCTGGTTGCGAACACGATCCGTTCCGGAGGCCCGTTTGCAACCTGAAAAGAGTGTAACCTGAAGCGCCTTATCTGCGCAGGGACGCTGTGTGATTTGGCACTTGTGTGCATGCGCGAAGTGCGATTTAGCGCTTCTGTGCATGCACGAGTGGCGAAATCCGGAAGTAACATTTCCCGATACTTCTGGGTCGCTGCGGGACGCAACCTGAAAAGACGTAATCTGAAGCGTCCGAAACATGAGGTATGACTGTAATGGTCACAAATTGCTCAGCTGAGCATTCATTTTCTCAGGTGAAGAATATTAAAAATCCCAATAGAACAGCTATGCAACAAGGTGGGCTGGATGCCTTATCTCTACTAAGTATTGAAGCAGATGCGCTAAGTAAGATTAGTCACATGACAGGAAAGGCCCTGGGTGATTCAGCTAGACTTGTCTTCCCAGGGAGTTTAAGGACAGGCAAGGGTGTGCACAGGTGCTACGAGCACAACCCCAGGTATAGGGCGCTATATAAATTCAATAAATAATAATGAACTAGGAAGCCGAGAGGCACCCTAGCTAAAGGGGTCCAACTCCAGTAGGAAGTCCGAACCTCCGGAGGGAGCGTATTTGAAAGCTCCTGCTGGTAGGAAATGACAGAGACCAGACCAGATTCTAGCGAAAGCAAGGCAGCGACGTAAGCCTGATCTTTATTAAAAAATAGCTGTTGGCAACAGGGTTCCCACTCATGCTACAGGCATTGGAGGAGGAACCCCGAACAAAAGAAATCTCTTACATTTATACCTTAAATTTCTATACAGTAGACATCAGAAGAGGCGCAGCTGCAAGGTATGTTGAAAGGATTTAGCACAGGTAAGTGGTGTGTTGAGGAAGGGTTAAATGGTGTTATTCGTTTGTGATTGCTGTACAAGAGGTGTTTAGGTTGATTTCCGGTCTCCAGAAGTGTTGACAAATGGTTTTGTTTTTTCTGCACACATACTGGATCCTGCATGGTCTCCAGGTCCCAAGAACTCCTTGCACACAGGGCTTATTGCCTGACCACTCAAATAGACATACGACAGGGTTGGTTTCAAAAAAGTGAGGTTACAATTTAGTAGAAAGTCCGTCCTGTATTGGGGTATTGTGAGGGGTGTGGCGATGAAGGGTACCCCTTGTTTGTGGTGTGAGGGAGTATGGGCACATACCCAGCAATCAGACATATTGGTAGTGTGGATGACCTTCTGGAGAAGTTGCTTTGCCATGCAGACAACTGTTGGGAATGAGTGGGGATGAGTAACTCTGATAATTTGACGTTCCTAGGGGTTGTGCCTATGGGGTGTAGGGGATCTTGGTGATGAAGGAGATTTAAGTCGGTCATTATCCCACCACATCTCTGGGTCCCATTCCGAAGCGGTACCTCCTCCCACAGGATGCAGCCAGCCTTCAAGGTGCATTTTCCCTCCCCAAGTCGAAGAAGTCCCTAAATCCCAGACACAGCAAAATCTATGTACACAAGTACCTTGGATAGTGGAGGCAGTGGTAGAGTCACTGCAATAAAATCCGTAAGTCCAGTGTTTGTAATACATGGAATTGGTGTAGCCTTCCCAAAGTCTTTTTTCCTTGTTTGGATGGGTTGTAGTGCCGAGTGGGTTTCCCCCATTGTGCTTGGATATAAGTCCCATTGTGGCAAGTCAGTCGGTTCCACAGGTGTTCGATGGTGAAGAGAGCACATCCTAGAACAGTGTAGGAATCGGATCGAACGAGGAGTTCCCATGCTTGAGTGTCCTGTAAACGTGGTCGGAAAGCGTGTTGTAGCCAAGTCCTGGTTCCAGGTAAAGTGAAGGACAAGAACTGCTATGGCAGCTGCCTTCTCTAGGGCATTGCAGTTACTCTTGCGCAAGCCTTTGTGGAACAAGCCGGCTCCTTCTGCTCATGGTCCAATTGACTGGGGACTGGAATTTGAAGCCGCAGTGAGAAATGGCTCTGGGAAGGTATGGATAGAAGAAACAAGGAGTCTAGCATTATTGCCAGGAAGATGTTACAAATGGGAAACCTGTGTCAAATGAATGCCACCATACTTTTTCATCTCACACAGACAGATCATAATCAGTGCCTCTTAGCTTTCAGTTCTTCCCCAATCAAGATTGTAACTAACAGTTCCTGCAGTATTTCTAGATCACAAGTTACCTAGTCGTAACAAACAATATCTTACCCCACTAACTATGCATTTGAGATACCAGAACTGAGGGCAGGTAAGGATACGGGACAGGTAGATCAAAAGAGGCTTAAAAAGAGGACATCTGGCCAGCTTAGATACCATCCTTGGGCCTGTTCATTTTTTATCTTACTACGTTCCTTCCTTTGTTCTCAGCCTAGGCTGGGATGTGCATCAAACAGAGTGTTAATATTTGAAGAAGCATTTCATATTCATTCACTGACAGAGCAAGTTGCACTAAACATCTGATTTATACTGACAAGGTCTGAGTGATATATTAGTGTATGGAGGTGTTTTTACGGGAAATGAGTCATCTGCATACATATGAAAATGCGAGTCTAATTTAAATATTTAATGGCAATTTTATTCAGTGGCATTTTGTATTAAATATTCATACGCAGTATTAGTGTTACTAATGGATAAGCTTTTTCATGTAATGCATTACCATGTTTTGGAAATGAAACAGTGGAGTGGGAAACAGCAAGCAAATCACATTAAACCAACAAATTAGAATATTGTTAACTGTCACATTATGAGGACCCAACACTATCTATGAACATAGTCCAAAACACATGCAGAAAGTGCCACTCATTAAACAGCAGTAAAGTTCAGGATTTCTTGTTTTCTATGCAAGATTAAAAGAACTGGGGGTGCTTATGGCAGCCTACAAAACTGACCCCTCTGATCTCTGCCCCATATGTTGCATATTTCTAGACTGCTTTTCACTCAAGTGGCTTGCAAAGCGGCTTACAAACAATAAATAACAATAAGATAATAGAACATCACAAATATAGCACAAATCATATGGAATAATTAGCAAACCATCGGTAAAACAATTGCAGTCTATAAAACAGTATTAACAAAACAACGAAAGAAATAAGCCAAGCAGCACCGTTACAACCAAAGTCATATGAAAGGATTCACAAAGTACTGCACCATTCATAATCTATAAAGCAACAGGAACAACTTTAACGAAACAGCAACCAAAAAACAAGCACCCTTGCACTCGCTCATTGTGGGAGAAAGTCTACGCACGTGGTGCTGGCGTAAAGGAAGTGGGTTTAAGTTAGGTGTAAAGTTAGACCAGATCCAAGCGCCATTCAGCAGTGGGGCTGCTGCTGCTGCTCTGCCTAAGCCTGGCAGAGGGAAAACAAGCCTTAAAAATAGTGCTCTGCTGGGTTGTCAGGCTAAGTGACTGAGTGAATGGGCTTTGGATCGGGCCTAACCCCCCCCCTGGCCTGCCACACCCACCCACCCTCAGAATGCCCCTTTTGGGAGACTTATAGCGGCCTCAACTCAGCCAGGATGAGCAAGTTATGCTGGAGTTATCTTCAGCTGAGTCAGGGCTGGTGACTTAATGCTGGCTGAGCCCAGCTGAGCTGAGACTGAGCTAGAGATCAGTTGCATGCTAAGCTGCTCATCCTGTTTTATGTTTATTTAGATTTTTTGATGCTGCTGATTGCCAGATGGTCACAGGGCAGTTTGCACATTTAAAATGTCAGAAATGCATGGTACAAAAATTGAACTAAAGCTGCAAAGTAAGTAACAACAACAGCATCCACAAATCGGCAACTGGACGATTCCACGACACCTATATTCCATACCACTTTCTCTCTCTCTTTCCTAGTGGAGGAGTTGGGTTTGTGCTTGTCCTCTAAATGAAAAGTAATGATGGAACAGGACACAGAGGGAAGGGAAGGGAAGGGCAGGAAACTGCTGCACGATGAACTTCCTTAAGTTAATTTATTTTAGGATTCCAGTTGAAGTCGAAAATATAGATAAACTCCATCATCTAAAATTCCTCTAATTTAAAACAGAACTCCACAGCCCACAAAAAATTATGAATGCTTAAACCTTTTCTAGGGATGCGGGTGGCACTGTGGGTTAAACCACAGAGCCTAGGGCTTGCCAATCGTAAGATTGGCAGTTCAAATCCCCACGACAGGGTGAGCTCCCGTTGCTCGGTCCCTGCTCCTGCCAACCTAGCAGTTCGAAAGCACACGGTGCAAGTAGATAAATAGGTACCGCTCCGGTGGGAAGGTAAACGGCGTTTCCGTGTGCTGCTCTGGTTCGCCAGAAGCGGCTTAGTCATGCTGGCCACATGACCCGGAAGCTGTACGCTGGCTCCCTCGGCCAATAAAGCGAGATGAGCGCCACAACCCCAGAGTCGTCCACGACTGGACTTAACGGTCAGGGGTCCCTTTACCTTTACCTTTAAACCTTTTCTAGTTGAGAGGCCTTGGGGTATCCTGGGCCTTGTCTCTATTTCTCAGTTGGGAGGTTTGCTCTTCCTCCACCATGCAGAAAGAAAGAAAAAATGTTTTTCTTCCTATTAAAAATGATTGCATCCCCACTTTGATTGCAGCAGTGTTTTCTGTGCATTATGCTGCACAGAGGTTCATAAAGCACGTTTAAGGCCAATTCGGCATAAAGGTGCTGTGTAATAAATGCTAACACAAAAGGATGGTGTTTTTCATTAAAATAAGAAAGCCTCTTGAATCCCTGGATATTCGAGAAGTACGCTAGGGCCCCAATCCAACACCGAGTTAGACATGCTTAAATTAAGCCCACTGATTCCACTGGCTTTAAGCATGCCTAGCTGAGCGTTTCTTGGATTGTGGCCCAGCTATTGGAAGGAAGGCTTTAAGGAAGGATTAGCAAATTATCTCATGTAGAGAAGTTCTCAAGGAGAGGTTGGTTTCACATTTCTGCTAAGAGTTGCTGTTACACTGACATTCTGCTACTATAAATTCCAGCTATAGTAATCTGCATTCTAATTAGCAGCTTGCCTTTCGAAAACAGGAGCATGTGGGTGGTAAAGGATTATAGATTATAGATTATAAGGATTAGAGAACCGTGTGCATGTGTTTCTCAGATATCTATTCTAGGCAATAAGCTAGTTTAAAGGGGGGAGGAATAAAAATCTATTTGTCCTTTGGGAAGATTTGACTGCTGCTGGGAAAAGGCTGTATTGCTTGAGAACTCGCAAAGTGAAATGTAGCACTCAGTGAAGTGGTTGGATGAGAGGAAAAGGGAGATGGGTTCATAATATGAGTTGTTTGAAGAGACTCCCCCCCCCCAAAAAAACCCCCCCATTAAAAATAACAGTAACATTTACATCAAACCAAGATGAAATAAAGAGGAAGAATCAGGCAGGCAAACATCCAAGTACACTTTATTTTGTTCCAGCAGGCTATGTTTTGCTTTTCCAGAAGCTCCCTGTTCGTTCTGATTCAGAGGCAACAAGCACACCTTTCGAGAAAGGCTATGCACTTAATTTATGTACAGAAAGAATTGGCATGCAACGCCCACAGCTCGCCTGCTTCTGGTCATAAAGACCAGGACTAGCCTGCCTTGGAAAGCCTAAATTGCACATAAAGGCTGATTAGCTGAGTCTGGTTACCATTTGCAGAGAAGCAGTCAGATTAGTGCAGCAAGAAAGAGAAATGGTAAAGCTAAGCTCTCCTGACGGAGTCCCTGGTCCCACCTGTATGCCCATTTCCAACTCATGGGATGCTACACAATGCTAGCTTGTAGGAAGCCCAGTTACTAGACCCGGCTTCTATACAGCATTAAGGCATGAAATAGCACACTGTGCCTAGCTTCAGCCAAGAATATCAGGCAAGACCTTACTGCCTATGCCCCTTCAGTTGTTCAGACACCTGGCACATGGTCCTTCTCAGTCAGCGTGAACTCCCATCATCCCTGACTGTTGACTGCGCTAGCTTGGACTGATGGGAGCTGGAGTTACCACAACTGGAGGAGGTCTACCACCCCTGATTTAAACGGGCCTACTTATTAGAGATTTCTATAATCTAAAATGCATACACACACAAATTACCTTTGACTAAAATGAGGCATATTTTCATGGGCAATCTATTCCATCTTCCTACTTGATAAAGATAAACAGCACAGTCATCTGGCGTCTCATACCCTTCAACATCCCACAGATCAAAATCAAGACGCTCATTTTTTTGGTCTTTTGGTCCATCACTCTGGTGTGAGCCAGATGATTTGTGCCAGAGCATGAGAGCAAAAACCGAGCCCCTTTTGGTCCAGTGCTCTGGCACAAAACAGGACTGTTGAGCGGTATGGAGTCTTGCTGTACAATACCATTGTTATGTGGAACCACACCCAGCTTTATCTCCCTTGGTCAGAGTCAGGCCCAGTATTAGTTCTGAACTGGTGCCTGCCCCTCTGTTGTGACCTAGATGGAAATTTAGGCAGTTGAAGCTGCCTCAAACCCTTTGGGTATGAGCATTATTTTTTGAAAATACAGTAAATAGCAAAAGAAGCTAAGACTTCTGTGGTAGAAACCACTTCCTGAAGGAATGCTTCTGCAGGCTTCTCAAGCAATACAAAGCTTTCCTGCTCCCTCATGTGGTTAAGGGCAGCAAACCAATGTACAAAAAAAGCAAAACAAGGCATTGCGTCTAGATCATTTTTCCCACAGAGGAGTCATTTCAAAGTAAAATTATTATTACAGCACAATACTTATTATTTGATCTAGCCAGAGGCTGTTACAATAGAATGACTATCACTTGACATACCTAAGAAAACACGTCAGTGCAGTAAGATAAATATTCAGCATGCCTCTGCTAATTGCATCTTCCTTTCCCATCAATATGATCACATCACCAGTGCTTGAATTACAGGGTGAAGGACAAAGGGGATCTAGTCACCTTCACTTTGATACAGATCCCTTAGCTACACTTTTAAAAGGCCCTAGGGGGGCGTGATTTGGCTAAAGCTAAGCAGAATTAGCAGGGGCAGTTCCAGATTTGAGCCTCCCTTGGGCAAGGCTCTGGGGGGTGGCCTCCTCCATCTCTGTGCCCTGGTGGGCTTACCTGACGGTGGCGGCAGCAGCCCACAACAGCCATACCAGAGTTCCAGTTAGTGAAGAATGCTTGGATCTAGATGCACTTTTAATTCTACATAATGCACCAGAGAAATGTTCTAGAGGGGAAGCCAGTGGCGCTCTGAGTGCTGGGCTTGGGATGAAGGCACGCCTGAGGAGATATCAGTTATGAGCTCTGCTGAGGCTTGGGCAGCCAGCAAGATTCCAGTGTGTGGAAGCTGACCCTGGGCATTTGAGAATGGGGCTTGTGGGTTTCATTTAAGGCCCTACACACTCCCCGCACCCAAGCATTGCACATAAGGTTGTTCCTGAAAACCGTAAAAAACAGCAGCTGTTATGGTCAAGCAGCTCCTAGACTATATCGCTTCCTACTGCATAATTAAATGTTATGTTGTGCTATGGTTTATTTATATCTCTCTCTTTTTAGCCCAAAGGCCCCCAAAGCAGCAAACAGCACATGAATACGAAAGGAATATACAGTAAAAACACAGTAATGTTCCGCCCCTGTACAAAAGACTCTCTGTATACAGAAAATGGGTGTTGTAGCCTTTTCTATCATCTTACTTTTATATGTACAATATTTAATATCCAAGGCTAGCCTTAGATGTATAGGAAACTGGAATCCAGAATTGGAAATATTGTTGGAGGTGTGGACAGTGGAGCTGTAATGGAACCTATTGTTCCTTTCCCAAGTATTTGATTTCCCTGTTTTGCCCATTCAAGTGAAGATACCTGTTTGTCCCAAACATTATTTATAATTGGGGATGGGCAAATCTGTCAGTTTCAGTTTCTCTCAACTTCTTATTTTTTCCAGTCTAGGGGAGCAATTCTATACACAAGGAACTGATGTAAGTTATGATGGCATAAAGTTACATCAGAAATGGGGTGGCCTGCTCTGTTTCGCTACCTGAGACAAAAATAGGAAGGTGCTGCTCTGGACGTACACTGCTACCTAAACCTTGTTTTCTAAGGTCGCACAACTATGGCTCTGGGGTTTGGGTGAGATCTCACCAAAATCTGAAACCTACCACAGCCGCTTCTCTGGTAGTGGTGGTGGGGCATCCACAAAGGAACTTCTGGATTCCACCACCTGAGGAGGCTGCTTCAGTCTGCCTCATGAATGGGCCGGCCCTGCACCAGAGCCAAACTCAATTCAGCAGTACTGAATTCAGGATTTACCCCATCTTAAGATATGCTAAGCTTGGCTGGTTCCTGGCTGAGCCAGGATGAGAGAGATACATGTTTATTTCTGGCTGAGCTAAAATATCTATTGCTGAGCTGAAGATGAAGGACTTAGGCTGGTGCAGCCTGGCTGTGCTGGGAACATCCAAAATCAGCTGAAGATCTACTGGATTCTAATCTGCTCATCCAGAAGATCTTGCTATAAGATTGCTCTTTTAAATTCAGTTTGGCACATTTTCACAGCACTGTGTATTTATTTATTTATTTTTAGTTGTCATGAAAATTCACCAGCATTTTACTGCAATTTTCTCCTAATGCACACATTGTTTATGCAGTTTTGATGAAAAAAATCCATTTTAGTAAAGCCGTTTCCCAAAATACAATGTATTTTTGCAAGTAATTTTCACTGGTACCTGCATTTTTATACCTACTTTACCCCAGTATAACCACATTTGCACACATTACTTGATTGGAGAACTGCATTGCAAAATTCAGAAATGTATGAACTCCGAAAGACTGGTGTGTTTCAGTTCGCATATTGTTTCAGGAAGTACCTTGAAATGCAAACTGAATCAACTTCCCCCAACCACCCCTAATTATAATTCTCCCACTGCCGTCAAGATCCACAATCTTTCAAATGCAAGGTGTTGAGGTGAGAATAGGAATTTGTTTGTGCTTCTTCTAGTCGCCTTGGAATATATGAAGTAGTAAATGAGCAATGATGAGCAAACACTGGCTTTAAACAGTAGATTGAGTAGAATCTTTGGCTGATGTTCTGATTGTGTTTCCCTCCACTGTGGTTTGGCTGGAGGTTAGTCTCCCTTTTTTATTTAAACAGAGATGTTTGTTTGAATGACAACCTCTGGTTTGTGATCTGTGCATAGGTGAATAACTTGGTGACACCTGCATCTTGGCTTAGCAAAGCACATCTCCACCCAGAATTGAGTCATCTCTGGCTCTGCTGCTGATAGATGAGATGAGGAAAGAAAACCTGACAAGAGAAAATATTTGGGCCCAGTTGCCTATGAGATGAAACAACCCCTTTGCTCAGTTGTTCTGCAATACATTGACTGCTTGCTCCTTCCTTCTTGAAATGAGTTTTTACATACTGAGTGAGCAATGATCTATGAGGACACCTGCTTGTGGACTGTTCTGCTTTTCCCACCTGAATAAAAATGTAACACACTGTGTGTGTGTGTGTGTGTGTGTGTGTGTGTGTGTGTGTGTATTCTCTACAAGACATAGCAGATAGTGTGAAGAGGAGTATTTATGTCTGCCTCCCCTGTTTTTGTGTGTCCCAGAACATGTAATCTACCCATACGACTGGTCTTCAGCTGGTGGGTAAGGGACTCTGAGCTTTGGTGGGTTGCAGCAGCAAAACTACCTCCAATATTGTTTTTTTTAATCAATGCAATATACTAACAACTTAAGACATGCATCTCCATGCTTGGACTGAAGGTGTGTCCCAGATCTGAGAAGTTTGAAGACTGCTAAACATTTTTTTAAACTTTCCAGGGCTGCCTTCAGGTGTCTTCTAAAGGTTGTATAGTTACTTATCTCCTTGGCTTAACTCCATATCCTCTAACATTTCTCCAGGGAAACTAGGGGTGTCCTAAGGAAAAGCAGAACATTCCAATATCAAATCAGAAACTGGGATGGCTTCTGTAAATCCGGGACTGTCCCAGGAAAATAGGGACACTTGGAGGTCTGAACCTGAGATCAGGTAAAGGTAAAGGGACCCCTGACCATTAGGTGCAGTCGTGACCAACTCTGGGGTTGCAGCGCTCATCTCGCTTTATTGGCCGAGGGAGCCGGCGTATAGCTTCCGGGTCATGTGGCCAGCATGACTAAGCTGCTTCTGGCAAACCAGAGCAGCGCACGGAAACGCCGTTTACCTTCCCGCTGGAGCGGTACCTATTTATCTACTTGCACTTTGACATGCTTCCGAACTGCTAGGTTGGCAGGAGCTGGGACTGAGCAACGGGGGCTCACCCCGTCGCGGGGATTCGGACCGCCAACCTTCTGATCGGCAAGTCCTAGGCTCTGTGTTTAACCCACAGCGCCACCCACGTCCCAGTACCTACCTATTATTGACTGCTGTAAGCCACCCTAAGAGCCTTTTCTGACTGAAGAGAAAGGTAAAAAATACTTTGAATGAATGAATGAATCTTTCATTGAATATGAAGGCAGGTATTTACCTTCCTCATTTTACAGAACTTTGTCTGGAGATAGTGAAAATCTGAGGGCTCCAGGAGAACTACAGGTTTGGTCCCGTCTCTCTTATGTTTGTGCCCGAAATCTTTTTCGCCCCATCTCACCTTTTGCAAATAAAACCTTTGGGAGCCATCAGATGCAATAGTTCTCAACTAGTTGCCCAATGCAGTCATGTTGACTTGGCATTTATTTTCAACGAAAATCACACAACCAAATTTTTATATAAATTACAGCATTTGTGTACGCACACCTTAACCATTTTTCGTCTACAGTTTTACCATTCACCCACATAGTCAAATGAAATACATTTCCATGGGACACCATGACCCTGCTAAGCAGGTGTGGTCAACCAATGTTTTGATATACCTAAACAAAGTAGGGCAGCCAAAGCTACCACTTGAAAGAGCACTGCCAATTTCAGAATGTAAAATTGGTGGAGAGAATAGCTGGTGAATCATGTGAGATTTGCAACCCAAACCTAACCCACAGCCCCAAACTCTAAAAAATGAAATTGCCATATTAGTGCACGCTATTCCTGAGGAAATGGTGATCTCTGCCTTCTGGGTTCTCCAAGGCTCTGCACCCACCCTTCATGATTCTGAGTGATACCTCCACCACCACCACCACATGACAGCCTATGAATCCCAGTTCAACTGAGAGGAATCGGTTCATTTTATTTTCTCACTTACTCCTGATGTAGATCTTCATTCCCTCCCCTTATTTATTGGCAGGGAGGGCATTTTGTGGTTTGCCTCAGGTGCAGTAATAATAATAATAATAATAATAATAATGGCTTTTTTCCAGCTGGAACTCACCTCTCAGGTGGGCACCATTGCCATTACAGTGGTACCTCGGGTTAAGTACTTAATTCGTTCCGGAGGTCTGTTCTTAACCTGAAACTGTTCTTAATCTGAAGCACCACTTTAGCTAATGGGGCCTCCCATTGCCGCCATGCCGCCGCCACACAATTTCTGTTCTCATCCTGAAGCAAAGTTCTTAACCCGAGGTACTATTTCTGGGTTAGCAGAGTCTGTAACCTGAAGCGTCTGTAACCTGAAGCGCATGTAACCCGAGGTACCACAAGGGAGGCATTCATGGTGAGTTCCAGAACTTTTTTACTGATAATAATTTTTTTATTATTTGTACCCCGGTTATCTGACTGTCTTGGGCCAGCCCTGCTGGTGCTATCTAGTGAAGTTGAATTTTAGAAGGTTCAAGACAGAGAAAATACTTTTTCACACTGTGCATGGTTAAACTATGGAATTGGCTCCCATGAGAGGTAGTGACGATGGCTTTGAAAGGGTTTTACAAAGTCATGATGGTTAAGGTTATCAGCCACTGCTAGTGTGATGGCCTGGGAGTCTGATTCAGAGGCTGAACCAGAGGAATCCCAGCCTGCACTGGAGTCCCCGCCTCCAGGGCCAGCTGAGCCGGGGTAGGGCCTTGAATCTGAAGCACCTGCACCTGTGCCGGATCCTCAGGAGCAGGCACCAGGTGAATCCACTCTGGCTCCGGAGGTGATTGAGGACCCATTGCCTACAGGTGCACCTCTCCCAGCCCTGTCAGGGGAAGGTGAGCCTCCCCCTGGGTCCAGTATCCCTTTAGCCTCTCCTGAGCTGCAGAGGCTCAGGGCAGAGAGGCGGAGGGAACTGGGTTCTCTCAGGAGGAGTACTCGCCTTAAGGCCAGGAGAGGTTGGTCACCTGTGGGCCGGGACTGCCCCTGGCCTCAGAGAAGATAAAGGCCAGTCAGCCCGGTCCCAGGTTGCGGGAGCAATGTCGTTGGAAACCTGTTTCTGCCAGCACCCAGACCTGTTCTTCCAGAATTCCCAACCTTGCCCTGCTCCTCGCTTTGGACCCCGCTTCGCCCTTGGTGGACAGTCTCCAGACCCTCGACCCAGGACCGGACTCTGACCACGCCTTGCGGTAACCTCCCCCCGGGACCAGCACAGTGACAACGCCTTGCGGTAACCTCACCCCGGGACCAGCACAGCTGGCCATGATGGCAATATACCACCAGGTAGCCTGACAATTGAATGCTTTCTTCTAGAGGGCAAAGAGCAAGTGTGGATTGCTGCACTGGTGGGCTTCCATAGGCATCTGGCTGGCCAGTGTGAGGAATAGGATGCTGGAACAGCTAGGAGCCCTTCAAAGGCCTACTGTAGGTTCTTCTTAAAACTGACAAGACTTCCATAAACTATTTATGAGCCAGTGTGGTGTAGTGGTTAAGAGTGGTAGACTCGTAATCTGGTGAACCGGGTTCGTGTCTCCGCTCCTCCACATGTAGCTGCTGGGTGACCTTGGGCTAGTCACACTTCTCTGAAGTCTCTCAGCCCCTCTCACCTCACAGAGTGTTTGTTGTGGGGGAGGAAGGGAAATGAGAGTGTTAGCCGCTTTGAGACTCCTTAGGGTAGTGATAAAGCGGGATATCAAATCCAAACTCTTCTTCTTCAAACAGGAAGTTGATTTCTTGCCTCTAACACGAGGGTCATCATCCAACCCTCTGCAATGGAGGGATCTTTTGCCCAACGTGAGTCTCAAACTCATGACCATGAGATTAAGAGTTTCATGCTCCACCAACTGAGATATCCTGGTTGGCCCCAAGACAGCTGCTGCTAACTGGAAATTGCCTGTAGTCTTACGATAACTCCAGAGGCAGGCCGCCACCTCACACTCATGGAAAATTACAATTGACACAAAGCTATGTGGCCAAACTCTCTGCGCCCTTGGGTCCCCCCCCCCTCCCTGCCCCATCCTTCTTGTATATGAAGTCATGCTGACTGCTATTCCTTAGGTTTTGTTTATGCAAATCTGTCACCAGCCAGAGCAGGGGGCTCAGTTCTGCAGTGCAGATCTCTGTTTGTAATGCTTTGCAGTGCCAATGAATTGGTGTGATATGCACCAGCCAGATATTTGCATGGATTTTTTCCCCCTTTTGTGTGCTGATTGACACTAACCCTTTGCAAATATTGTGTATCAGAAACCCTGCTATATTTATTTGTGGTCCTGGTTGATTTAGATAGTACAGAGATGGTTTGCAGGCCTTTGGAAGTTTTTGTCAGCCCAATAAAAGAATCTGCGCTGTCCGTGTGGTTGGGTTCCGAATGAAATATAACAAGCAAAGAAGGCTTTGTGGATCCATGCACTCCCAGGAAACCAAGCCACTTTCTTAGGGCCAAACGTCTGCACTTCAGGAGATAACTAGGCATTACAAGGGAGAGGAATGCTTTTGTTTTTCAAAAAGCCGTAGTGGGGCCTTTAAACTAGGGCTGTGGGCAAGGGAGCACCTCTGTGTTGTGTCCCTGATCCAGATCACTGCTCCCTTTCTTGGTGTTGCACATCTAGTTAAGCCCTCATGTCCATTCCTTGCTTTGTGATCATTGTGCCCAAGGGAGCAATCCAAACCCAAGATCTGCCGGCATGAGTAGAGTCTGGAACAGACGTAAGTCTCCCATCCTGGCTCAGCCGAAGCTCATTGTCTGAGCTGAAGCTGCAGCGAGTCATGAAAATAGGGCATTCTGGGCTGATGGGGGTGTCACAGGGCAGGGGAGTGAAGGGGGAGAGAGACTTACCCCTATTCCAGACTTCGTTCAGCTCAGTCACGTGAGCTAGCAACTCAGCGGAAGTTACCCTGGCAAAAAGGGTCGTGCAATTTTAAGCTTGTGTTCCTTCTTCCAGGCTAGGGCTATAATAATAATAATAATAATTTATTATTTATACCCCGCCCATCTGGCTGGGTTTCCCCAGCCACTCTGGGCAGCTTCCAACAAAACACTAAAATACAATAACCTATTAAACATTAAAAGCTTCCCTAAACAGGGCTGCATTCAGTCTTCTAAAAGTTTGGTAGTTATTTTTCTCTTTGACATCTGGTGGGAGGGCGTTCCACAGGGCGGGTGCCACTACCAAGAAGGCCCTCTGCCTGGTTCCCTGTAACTTGGCTTCCCGCAGCGAGGGAACCACCAGAAGGCCGTTGGCACTGGACCTCAGTCTCCAGGCTGAATGATGGAGATGGAGACGCTCCTTCAGGTATACTGGGCCGAGGCCGTTTAGGGCTTTAAAGGTCAGCACCAACACTTTGAATTGTGCTCGGAAACATACTGGGAGACAGTGTAGGTCTTTCAAGACCGGTGTTATATGGTTTCGGCCGCTCCCTGTCACCAGTCTAGCTGCCGCATTCTGGATTAGTTGTAGTTTCTGGGTCACAAGTAGACCTGCTCCCAAACAGAGTTTGGAAATGGGACAGGTTGCACCGGCATAATTTACCCCGGTGTAAATTACACTGGCTTCCTATAATTCGGATTGCTCTTCCCAACTGGAACCAACCCTACAACTAGAGTGGTTTGATTCAGCAGGGATCTTTGTATGTTCCTATGACTTCAGACCTGTTGCTTGGCAGCAGAGGGTTGGTACACGTCACAATCTGGGCAAATTTTATTTATTTTATTTACAATGTTTTATTGCGCGCGTTAACAACAAGTCCTGCAGGAGGTCTGCAGATCTTCTTTTTTTAATCAAACAAAACCATAAATATGAAATACAACATGGACATAAAATCAGGAACAAATTCAGAAACTGCATCAGAAGAAAAAGCAATGTAAAATTAGTGTGCAGCAGGAATATTGGTGATACATGGGAAGAAGTTCTCTAATCAGAAGCTAAATGCTTAGAAAGCCCTGGCTTTGCGGCACTCCAGATTCTGACGCTGCCCATGAGATTAAGATTTAGGGAGTTGAGTCAGGGTAAGTAAAGGGGAATTTTCCATTCATTAAGTTATTACAGAGTTTCCCGAACTTGGATCTCCAACTGTTTTTGGACTACAGTTACCATCACCCTGACCACTGGTCTTGCTAGCTAGGGATGATGGGAGTTGTTGTTCAAAAACAGCTGGGGACCCATTTGTGGGGAACACTGATTTATAACATTTAAGCTCCATCTTTCCTTTAAGGAGCTCAGGGTAGCATCCATGACTCCCTGCTCCTATTTCCCCCCTTACAACAACCCAGTGAGATTAGGCAGAGAGACAGTAACTGATTCACGGTCACCCAGTGACCTTCATGGGTGAGTGGAGATCTTAACCCAGGTTTTCCCACTCCAAGTCTGGCCCTCTAAAGGTTAGAGCAGGGGTCAGCAACCTAAGGCCCATGGGTCACAGGTGGCCCATGTGGGCCATTTAACCAGCCCATTGACCCCCACCACCCACTCAGTCAGCTCCCATGCACCATGCTAAACCAGTGCGGAGCAGAGCAGGGGCCTCCTTCCACGACGCTGGCCGGCTTCCCATTAGCTCCTGCAGCCAATGCGAAGCTGCACACACCTCCTCTACGCCAGAAATAGCGTTTGCACATGCGTGTGTGCGCACGCACACACACACACTGTGGCCCAGCGCGGCATCTGCGGGACCGTGAACCGGCCCAAGCGACAAAAACTTTGCCGACCCCTGCATTAGAGCTTCAGCACACTTAGAAAGAAAACCTTGCTGTAATGTTCTAAGCGTCTGGAAGGGAATAGGGTTCTAGTGATTGAGCATAAGGCAGTGTTTACAGTGTCAGACCCAATGTAATAGTGAGGTCTCATCGAGAAGAAACTGCAACTTTGAGTTCTGAGGTTTTGTGAATATCTGCATTGGTTGATGCAAATTTTGATGGGGGCCGGGATATCGGTCAGTTATCGACCCAAAATAGAAATTATCAGCATGTCCTTCTTGAAAGAAGCTTGAGAAGTGAACTATCTAATAACATGTGCCTCTGATGAACTGTATCACAAACACAACAATCCTGATTCTATCATACTCAAATGTTTGTGTGCCTCAGACTTTGCTGCCTTATACATATATAAACGCATACATATGTTCTCTAAAATGTTATCTGCTGCTTCAACTACAATAAGAGGCTCATGTGCTTGAGCTTTATTTCAAACTTTTGCTGTGTGTGTTATAGCCCAGCTGAGAGAGTTAATAGGCTGCAGGAAGCCATTCTGGGAACTGAGAAAACAATATTGCTCCCTCTCCTTCCACCCTGGGATCTCAAGGGGCCCATGCCACCGACCATGAGGGTTCCAGGTTCTTGTTTAGCATGCACCCAGAAAACAAGTTATGTGTGGTGTCAAAAACTGAACTGATTTTATTCCAGCAGGACTCGGTGGCAAAGAGAGCAATCCTATGCACAAGAAGCTGTAAAGTTACACCAGATGCAAACTCCACTCAGCAGTGGGTTTACTGCTGGCTTGAGCTGGCCTAAGCCTGTAAGGGGGAAAACAAGCTTTTAAAATAGTGTTTGAGTTACGCCACCAGTTTTACTGGTTTAATTTATGCTGGGTTCCTACATAATGTGATGAAGCTGGATGGGCTTAGGATCTAGCCTACGTCCCCTCTGATTTACACTGACTTAGCTCTGACTAAGTTGAGGATGCTGGAGTTAAGCCAAATCCACTGGATCCTAGCCTGTTCAAGGTTTGCATAACTTGCTATAGGATGGCTTCCTAAACAGGGATGGCTTCTGTTTAACACAACTCCTTCAATATGAAGAGGATCAAAAGGAATGCCATGAATCAAAAGCAACTGATACACACCTTACGTTCTGGGAAACAGAGGAAAGTGGATCCATACATTTTATTTCCAGGAATACATGGAAGCTTTTGCACATGAAGAAGACTTATGCCTCTGCTGAAATAAGCAGGTTTAGGGCAACAGCAAACGCAACCTATTCTTTCATGTTTTGGGCAAGTCACATCGCTTTTCCTCCTTATCTATTTCTTATTTGTCTTCATGATCAGTTTGCAGACAGAAAGAATGGCCTGCTGGAAGTTATCACCCAATGCAACATAAAGTATTAAGTTGCCAAAGGTGTTCAGTGATGCTAAGGACTGGGTCACAGTAAAAATATCACGGACTCTCCGCATTGTGCGGCAGCTCACAGGGTGGATAGTTAGCTCAATGCGAACTCCTCTGAAGATGTGAAATGGCAAGAAACAGACATAGAAGACAGCCAGGAGGACCATGGCCAGCAGGCGAGCCTTTTGCTTGTAAGCAGTGCCAGTGTGAGGCCCTCTTGCCAAGGTGTAGATAATCACAGCGTAGCAAAGAGTGACAGTTACCAAAGGCAAGAAGAAAGCAAATGTCGTTAGGAGCCAGTTATACCACCTCACCGTGAACAAGTCTGCAGAGTTAGTAAGATCCTGGCAAATCCATCGGTGGGCGTTTTGCTGCGTCGTAATCACGTGGAATATCGGGCTGGCCAGCAACAGGGAAACAACCCAAACTACAGCACAGGCGGCAACGGCCCATCTCCGTTTCTGAATGGAAAAGCAGTTCATCGGGTAGACGACAACAATAAAACGGAAGAGGCTGTAGCAGGTGAGGAAGAGGATGCTGCTGTACGTGTTGAAGTAAAAGTTGAACCGGACAAGCTTGCACATGAATTCTCCAAATATCCAGTTTTCTCCACTGGCGTAGTATTGTATCAGGAATGGAAGGCAAGACACGTACAGCAGGTCTGTAATGGCCAAGTTTAGCATAATGATAGTGCTGCTTTTCCAGGGCCTCATTTTGAAGACATACACGGAAATGACAATAATGTTCCCAGGAAAGCACACCAGAAAG